GGTATTGTTTGCTACGCTGACAGGAAAGTATTAGAAAGTACCTGCACAAACGTCTGCAATTCCTGTACATTTCGTCCCCATGAGTGTACATTTTCAGTTCTTTTCGGATCGTTCTAGGCTGCCTTCATACTACCTCAGAAAGAACAACACAAAATTGTATGTTTGTTCATAGATTCGCCGTGTATTTGCGGTGAGAATATTCACCAGCAGACCTATATAAGATGTTTGAAAGAATTTTGATATTATTGAAATTTCTTCGTCATTGATGTTTTGTTTTCTTGGAGAATATCGAATATGTGTGTACCGACACTAGTATGGACTTCGAATCTGTACATTGTCAATTTGGCACAATCTGTCTAGTTCTGTAATGCGTGGAAATACATGTTGTAATCCTCAATTTATGTGTATAGCTTGGGTACTCTGAGGATGAACCCTTTCTAGAATATACATGAATTAATCACCTTCTCAAGGATGGTGAACTAGGGATCTGGTTCAAGTGATATATTTGCATGACAGTGAGGAGTTGAAAGCGAGAATTGAAGCCCGCGACATGGAGGGAGTCTATTTGAGAAAAATTAAATCGATAAAACCGATTGATCCTTCAGGTCCTCCTGGTTTTTCTAGGCTTCCGCAAATCTTATGTGAAAATATGGACTTGTGCATCAAAGCTCCCATCATCATGATCTCATGGGCACACAATTTCTCGCGGTTATCATTATATTGCTCACGAAATAATTAATCTCAGGATCACAGGACCCTATGTCTAGAACTCATGTGTACAGGACGGTGCATCTCTGGACGCCCAAAAAAGAGGGACATAAAAATACATCATCTCTTTAACCCGATGTGCTTCGTTTCACAACCTCCAAAACTTCAATGCCTGCTGTGGTCATTTTTTCCGCTCTGCCACAGTTGGATCTATCGGCTTCGACGAATATTAATCTCCATTGCAGAGAAATTTCTAGGCCTTTCTAACCTGATGTGTGAAGAATTTATGCACTCCAGCCTTCCGAAATTCATGGTAATCAGCCTAGCCCGAGAAACGAGACATGTAGCTGTTGTATCAAGATGGCTATTGTCTAGAGAAACGTGTGACCAAAGTAGACAATGCTGTCTCCGGCACGTTAATAAATTTTGAATCATTGAAAGATGAAGGTTTTAAACCTCTGAGACTCTCTCACCTATTCCTTTTGTTCAGGCATCAACAATTGAAATTAGACTACTTATAATACCTACAACAATGCAGGTGCATGCAGATTGGTACAAAAACGTGTTGTGGAGTGGAGCAGCAAGGAAGGCTAACCCCAGTTCAATGAATAAACAGTAATACATATCCTCATCTGCAGATATTCTATCTACCCATCTTCCTCTCGAGTCTATGAAGTCTACAAAACGCAACATCCATCACCATGACCAAGACTGACTATTAAAAGAAATCGATTCCATTACACGTGATTGGAGGCTGTTTTTTTATTTCTCAGAGGACAAGGACAACTGCATGGTATGGCTGCGTATTGCTGGGTATCTTGACCATGACTGCACCTCATTCGGGCAGCAGCAGGCAGATCTGGCGAAACCACGCCGGTGAGAAAGAAACACCGATGCAAGCATAAGTTTCGGCACAGCCTTCATTGCCGCTGATGGGTCTGATTTAGTCTCAATTTCCCAGTTGAACACTCTATCCAACGCACACCTGGTTCAGAATGAGTATTCATGCATGTACAAACTACTATTACGTGTGTGAGCTGCAGGACAACCATAGATATTAACAAGCACGTCTATTTCCCCCATAACCCAGTAACGAAATTTGTGGGGGATGTCCCGAACAGCACGGATGCTGCACCAACCATCTGAGTGAAGAATCGGCCATGTGGATATGAGCTCATTCCTGTTGTCAAGTTGGAACAGCAGTTTGGAAGCCTCCTGAAGACTTGTATCTCGAAAAAATCGGATACAGGGTGTCCAGTCTGAAGGTACTTCTATCAGTTAGGTTTCTTGTGCATTCCCCAACCTGCGTGCCTGGATAGCTGCATGGTTGTTCCGAGCTTTGCGAATAGAAAAGTTTATCCGAAACTAGGCCACCAAGCGTACCGATTCACGATTATTACATATGGGAAGGACACTCTGAAACTTCGAGAACTCATTCAATCCTTTTTTCTGATGAATTTCTTTTTAGTTAATTCAAGAGCCTTGTCCAATGAAACTGTAAACCCAATTCTACAAAGTATCACCGTCGGTACTTAGAATCTTATATTTGGATATTCTCCAGTAAATGAAATGTGTGGAAGACAAATAGAGACACTGCAGACGCCGGTTCGCAAGCTAACTTTTTGCCACAGGGTCAGAGTCTCAATCAGAAACTGGTTTCGATTTCCAGATAGAAACAATAATCGTGACATATTACAATAATTTTAATCGGAACCTGGACTTTTGCAATGGCAATGAGATCCAGCGGCCAAGTATTAGCAACCAACCCAATCCATACTTCCCCTAATCTCAATTCCTGGTTAGACATACAATCCAACAACGGTTTTCCTATTAGTGTTCCCAGGAAGAAAATGGGTAAAGTAGAAACGTATCTATTTCCGCTCTTGTATCGAGATTTTTTCCAGTCTCGGTTGTATCGACTTAATTAGATTGCATGGTATCAGCACACTGCGCCTTGAGACGCGTAGACTGCATTGGTGTATCCGCCCTTCCTTGTGGCGTCTCCACGTCTGTGGTATCCCCACACTAGTGCTGGCAAAGCATGGCAAAAGTGGTCCCTCGCTTTGCATTTCCACTTTGCACTATATAACTTACTCTGTGCCTGTAACTGAAGCCTTAACTGTGTAGCATTGAAACCTTAAACCTTCACAAGCATTCTTGGCTTTCCAAATAACATCTACCGAGGCATTTCTGTTTTATTTCTTTGGTTTTTTTTTCTCTCACCAGCAGGAGAAAAACGGTTGCTGCTGCTGCTGCTGCTGCTGCTGCGAATGAGTCTTGGTTTTTTTCGTTTGTGAGTTGGGTCGTTGAGTGACGTTCGGCAACATGGATAATGCCAAAACCAAGGCCAATGATTTGTACTACCGGGCGCAGCAAAATGCGCCACTCAACCGAAGGCAGGTGCTAGGATTGGTTACCATCCTCGTCGCGGTGGGTACTGTCATCACCATTGCAGGCCTCACGCTGACTGGCACCACCATTGGCTTCTTTCTGTCATTGCCCGTGCTCATTTTCTTCAGCCCTATTCTCGTCCCGCTGGCAATTTTTGCGTTTTTCGCTATCAGCAGCCTGTTGGGTTTCGGCGGTTTCGTCTCCTTCGCTGTCTGGGTGTACAAATACTACAAGGGTGGTCACCCTGTGGGCTCCGATCAGGTTCGTAACTATTTCCCTTTGAACCTTTGCTTCTGTGTAAATCTTGTGGGTATATCCAGTTTATGTCCGATCAGTCCTTCGGGGTATACTTGTCTGTAGTGAGTTTCTTTTCATATTTTATTCCGAGTAACGAGACCCAGTAGTTTTTGGAGAATGCTGCTTTGCTCAGCTCTTTAGCCAAGTTTGTCGCAGTAGAGAAAATGAAAAATGCACGTAATTTACCTTACGTGTGAAGTTCCAGTATCAATTGACAGCCTGGGTCCTTTCATATTAGTCAAACTGGACCGAACGTAGTGTTCGGGTTGCGCTCGTTGTCACCCGAGCTGCCACTCCATTGCATCATTTTGATGTTCGGTCGGGGACATGGGTTGGGCTCTGTCGTCCTTCGCGTTATTTATTTTTGTCACATACCTCTAATTGCGAGTGTTGGAGTCGAGTTGAATGGGAGAAGCGTTGTCTGACTTCGGTGATTCTGTTGTATGAGCACACCACTTCATGAACGAGAGAAAGTTGCTCACATAGTTAAAAATGTGTGCAGGTTGACGCTGCACGTTACCGTATCGCGGAAGGCGCAAAAGAGGTCAAGGACAGGACGTATGCTGCTGCGAGAGACGTCCAGGGATATGTCGCCAGCAAAACCGATACCAGCGTCGCGGCTTAGAACCATCAGCTAGACGAGTTTAATAATTACGAGAAAAGGCATACGGCCCCATTGTTCATAGCTGTTCAACAATTTTGTGAAATTGTGTGATTGTGTTATTGTGTGAAATTGTGTGATTGTGTTATTGTGTGAAATTGTGTGATTGTGTTATTGTGTGAAATCGTGCCTGTGTGTTCCAAGTTGTGCCAGTATGTGTTGTGTGCATTACCTCGGAATATTCCGGACTGTATTAATTTGGATCAATACCAAGTTGTGACGTTAAAGTTGAAGATTTGGTCGTAGTACGTCGAGAATTTTGCCGTCCGAGAACTAACTGTTTTTTTTGTGGATTCAGTACTGTCCTGAGCCGAACTCTAACCTGATGAAGGTGTAATAGAGAGAAACCTGAACTATTGCAGTACGTTATATTATGTTAAGGTCGGTTATTGAATGGCTGTTTGATGTATTGTAACAGCCTAGTCAAAAATGAACCTGAAAATAGTAAAATTAAGCGTATTATTAGCTGTCGGAAGTAAACCAGTGTAACAACCACCAAATCTTTCGATAACTAACTGACCCCATTTCCGACTAAAAGAGCACGCTCGATATTGGCTAGCTCTTTGAAATGTGCATGAGAAGCATTTCAATTGCGTTCTCTGACTGGTGCTGAAAACAGCAATCAAGTGAAAGCTAATAAGCTGCTGGAATTCAAGTCGATAGGCTCATAACTATATTGCTGAAAATTTTACATCATTGTTTTCACCTCTTTAGATGTTGCCTACTTATACATACGCATCAACAGTCACAAGTATGTGACTAACAAAACTTTACACTTTTGCCTGTATTGTCTCGCTAGATGCTAAAACTTACCCAAGTCACATACCTCCTGCCATCAATTTATGTGGATTTGCATAACTTGGCTTACTTGGCTTACAACCTGGAAAACAGATGGGCGCATCGTACTGGGACCCTAATCGCTTCGGGTAGTATTTAAATTAAATATTTTCTCAACATAATTTACAAATTGAAACTGAGCAGAATCCTGAAAATACAAGAAAGGAGGTAGTCACTCAGCCTGCCAGCAACTTCTTTTCTGAGGCCGATCTCTTTTTTTCTAAGTCTATACCATGCCAGCAGTTGATAACATTAGATGGCTGTCCAAGCGTATTTCTACAACAGATAATCGCATTCAGCTCCTACAAATGCCTATCGAATCAAATCTGCAGAAGTAGCGACAACTAGAGACGATACATCCTATTTTAAAACACCTCTTATGGTCATGAAATTTAGATTCCAGTAACAAGGCACACTCATTTAAAAAATACGGGTTCAGCTTCACTTACCAATAGCCTTGCGACGTAGTAATAATGTTTTTAAATCCGAAGCGTTAGCTGCGGCTCCCACATACTGATGAACACCATAATATGAATGAAAATGGAAATTTCAAATTCGTTTGTGTGTTCTCCTTTTCAAGTCCGCCCTGCAGAAATAGTGAGTGGGAGTTTTAAATAATAAATAAATAAATAATTCAGTCCATAAAAGTATCAGTAGCACTACATAAAGCTAGCATATCAGAAAATTGGAGGAGAAGAAATATCAACGATTTTCAGTGAAGTGCTTCGGAGGGGTTACGAGGAAAAATCAAGCTGCGACAATGATTTAAAGGATGCACGTCACTCACCTTATAACCATCCCCTAATCCAACAGGGTTCGCATATTCACCATTCCTTAACTTGACACCAGAACCCTCTTGTTCATCGGCTGGACAGCTTGAATTTGCCAACAGATCTGGCTTTGAAGTTGGATTGTCAGCTGTGTTCTTGATGGAACTAAAATTCGAACGACTAAGTGAAGGCGCAATTGAAGACTCAACCATCTGGGGTTGAGATACAGGTTCAACATCCGGATTGACATGTCTTTCAATATCTTCGGCAGTTGTAGCACTGTAATCATTGTCGGCATCACATGTTTTGTTGGTCAAAGGATCAAGCTTACCAGATAACATCTCTCCGTTGCTTATGACCTGGTCTTCTGGAACAAGTGACTCAATGTTTCTGAATATTACCGTTGTATCAGGCACCTTGACGGCAGCGGAAGTCTGTTTACTTTTCTCAAGATCAGTAGTTAAATGGGATGCCACATAATCGTGCTTGCAGTGTACATTTGGTGCACCTAACTCCTCTACAGGGGAATTGTAAGCCTCTTGATTACCATTGCAGGTCATATCCTGCTTAACTGCTTCGTGTCCAGAATCGCAATCACCAGAATCCATACCAGAAGAAACAAACTTAAATGTTGGTGGCACAGTCTCAGGAATTACTCCACCTTCGCTTTCGTGTTGATTGTTCTTCATTGGTTTAGTAAGATTCGAGACCTCGGACAATGAAGTAGAGTCTCCGGCACCTTCGACAGTCTCCGGAACTTGCAGAGTAGATTCTTCAGAACGATTTGGTGAGTCCATTCGTCCGTCTTCTTTGTCTTCGTCATCCTCATTGTCCCCAGTCTGAGGAGATGGGGCGAATTCTGTCATTTGAACAGGATCAAATTCCAATTTCTTGGCAACACTGTAGTCATTGGAGCCAAAAGTAGGTGGACCTAATTCTGCGCTTGCTTCACCCTCAGGAAGTTCACTGTGAATCCCGGCGTTATCCTCGCTAATCTTGGGGATGAGCTCGGCAGAGTCTGCGTGACCTCCAGTGTACATGTCATCCAACACGATGGAGATACCATCCTCACCCGAAAAAGACCCAGGCTGTGTTGAAGTGTCAGCTCCCCTTTCCTCCAAGTGCGGAGTTCCGGGACTTGAAGCAATTTTCAATGGAATCCCAGCAGATTTCAATTCCTCATCAGTAACTTCTGCAGCTGCATTAAAATACTCCTTATAAAAGCCGCTAGTGCAAAATTGCTTCGGTGTGATCTCGCTCTGAGAAGTAAGGCTATCGTCAGGAGTTATCTTACCATCGATATGATGTGATTCTGTACACTCTGCAGCATGTTCTGGTGATCCTATTGTAGATTCCTTCTTTGAGTCCGCTGATTTGATAGATGTATCTGTTGTATCACAGCCTGCCAAGTTCACATCTCTGAGATTTTTACTTTGCTCTGACATTAAGCAGGCAGCAATGTCTCCACTTGAACTAGCACGATTCTGTAAAGCTTTCACCTCAGAACCACGGTTGTAATTGACGTAGTCGCGAGCCATGGGAGAATCCATTGCGTTAAATTCTTTAATTTCAACCCCATGATCATTTCCATTGACTATCATTTCTGGATCAGCAGCCCCTGCATCTAGAAATGACAGTTCCAAAGCATCTGAATCCCCAACCAAGAAATCTGAACCAACTGGGAACTCTGTAAAGATGTCATCAGCGACGTCTCCTCTTCCCTTAACAGACGCTAAAAGATTGTCCATACTTCTTGACGTCCCATTTTCCCAACTTCCTGCGGTAAAGAAAGAGAGTTCACTTTGTCCAGAAGAGAGTGGCAATTTACTGGACTCAGTTCTCAAAGAAAGCCTTTTGCCAAGGGAGCTGAACCTCGATATGGGTTCACTTGACACACTACGGAACTCATCACTGTCAGAAAAATCTGACAAAGTGTCGGGCCCTGCATCAGTAGCAACCTCTGAAACCTTCCGAGAGCCATCAGATCCTGCATCACTAGGTTCAACACCAGTTCTGTTTTCGCCGCCTTCCGATGCGCACGGACTCATCAGATCCTCAAATTCGGCATTTGAGTTTGTGAATGGCATCAGTCCGTCTTTAAAATCTTCTAGTGATTGAACAGAAAACTCCATGGATGGTATGGATTCAAGTTGTCCTGGAGCCTCGGCACTTTTACGACTCAAGGGAGAGAGTCCATTAACCGGGCGAAACCTTCTCAGAGACTTTTGATGAAGGGCAGTGTTCTCTTGTGTACCTCGATCAAAGCCAGATGACTTCGTGCGAGAATCTTCTCTCCCTGATGAAAAGGTGTTCGACTTTGTCCATGTGGGCTTCCGTGACAGTGCTGAATTCGCCCTCCGAAATGATGTGGTCTCTGGTGGTGAATTGTTCTGATGTTAAGAAACAAGACTGAGATTAGACTCTAGGCTGCAATAATCGAGTAGTGCCAAACAATTATCTTATAAGCTAAAGCTCAACCGCGAATTCTGCAAAGATTCAAGAAAGAGGGCTACGACGAAGTCCTTGTTTTAATCTCGAATGAATTCCAATCAGTGGCATAAGTATCTCCTTATTTAGGACCTAACTGCTTGACTTGGCAATTTGCTGCCTAGAGTGTAGCAGGTAATGTGACACTTTGCAAAGGTTTAATTTATGATTCCAAATTAGGAAAAAATTTAAGTATCAAAATGCTTCAATGTTTCAGTAAGTAATTACAAACCATGAAGTGAAAAAGCGACAGTTCTAACTTACCTCGTGCGGAGAGCTGCGTAAACTTACACTCCGCCCTTTGCCAGCCGACTTCGCTGGAGTTTTGTAAGGACCCCCATTCTCCTTCAATAGAGACGGTGCCTTGGCTCCTCGCGCCTTCGGTGACCTATTTCAACATCGAGTTCCATTGACCATCATTGGACAATGAGTACCCAGTTTCAGCCAATCCACTCATCTACCGACTAATTCAAGCCAGGTACAGTGTACTTTTAACCTATGCTATTACGTGCTGTGCTCGATCTGGTCATTCTTGACATAATCCACGAGAACTCGCCGCGAAAGAACAAGCTTAAACAGTCTAAGATGTACATTTGAGTTTTTGAGTTTACCTTAGCCCTGAGTGCGATGCAGACGGGTATAACTTGTTCCGCAGCAAACGCACAAGATCCTCGTGCTTCAAAATCACCCAATCAACAAACACATGTGTGTCAGCAAACATAATGCTCCACACCACCCACCTAGGAGTTTCCAACCCAAGCTATGCAACTGTCCCATTGATTCCTACGAAGCGAAGAGCGCAGACTCTTGCAGCAGCAATTCCAAGCTACATTCAAATTGGCAGCACATATAATTTTCGCATCAAAAGTGGGAATCCATCATCATCTCCATCAAAAAAACCTACAAGAACTCTCTTCACCGACGGCCATCGATCTAAACCACCCCAAAAACGCCAGGAAGGACAAGAACGGATCACTCCCTTCAATCGACTCCACTGAGATTCAAAATGTGCACCTTCACACCCGCCGTTCGAATATTATTCTGACTACATAGCTCCTTCAGCTCTTTGCGAGACTTCTCCTGCAAATATTCCCCCATTCTCAGCTAAACTGTTGTATCTCATCAACTACCAATGCGCCCCCTCGTTCCCCTGCCCTAGCCACCTCCCTTCTTTCCAACTTCCTCTCAATCACAACACCATCATCCACGTAGCGCCGCAACAGCCGAGCGCACACCCTGTCCGCCGGCGCTGCCCTCTCCCCCGCTACTTCGTGCCTTCTTCTTTCCTTTTCCAGTACCGCACCTCCGATTGTCTCAACTGCCGCAACGCCAGCTGTCTTCCTTGGTTTTGTGATGAAACTCGAAGCTCGTCGGCATTCAGTTCGTTCGTGCCTGTTGACAATTTTCAAATCAGCCGCAGCAAGATCCCAGTACATGTGCACATTATCCGCTAACCATTTTCCCAGAATCTTAACGACTCCCACATCGTCATTCAATGCGGCAACCAATGGAAATGGCCGCTTCATCACGACCGCGGCCAGAATGAGCAAGGTAACACACTACCGGCGTACAGGTATCCGTATCTCCATACGAGCAGTCGGTGGCAAACGTTCCCTTTCAAATCCTGCCGAAAACTAACCCAAGGGGACACCGAAATTCACTAGTCGAGGTAAAAGCCAACTGAGCGAATGAGCTAAACTCCAGGCAGGAAAATTAGCTCCGGAATCTTTCCTCTTTCGGCTGGGATGGATAGGCTCAACAATCGCTGGGTATTTCCAAATTCAAAACCTGGATTGAGTAATTGAAATACACAGTTTCGGCAGTTGGAAGGTTCCATCCAAGATTTTTCACGGTCTAAAGAGCCTTCATGTTTACTTTTGTCCGCTTTCTCCAGTCATGAATCGTGTGGACATCGGCATGGAGCCTGGCCCAATGCACACATGCGGGGTTTTGCAATTTGAACTACAGAAGCCAGTGTCCTTGCAATCAATGAAGACGGCTGTGAGACAGGGTGTCTCAGATCCCTATGATGAGCAGGAACCTCGGTGCATCCGCGTCATCAGAGTTGTAAGACGGACGAGTTCGCAACATAATGAAGGACTATGGTAATAATGACAAATCGTGGCTCTTCAAAAGGACGGGAACAGTATCTGAGATTCGCCTACTGACAGCGGTCTTGTTCTGTAGGCGTTTCTATGATTCAATACTCTTAATTCTGAGAGGAGCAGTTGCAGAGAGATACTTGGCGACTGGCAAGCGCCTGCAGCAATGCTCTGCACAACGAGAAGATGCTCACGAGCGTCCCGAACTAGCCGTCCTTTACTCGGAACTTCTGGTACCTTTCTGTCAAAGAGTTTCCGTCGATTTCCTGCACCCTAAAACGAGGTTCTATTTATGACCGAGTTCCTGGAAGGCTCGCGGTGTTGCGTTACAGCTTGAACCTCTCTTCCTGTACACTTCAAACGACCCATTGTGCGGGGCGTGCACAAAATGCTGCAGTCTAATAAAGTAAAAGCGTAACTAAAAGCAAACTGTTGAGCGAAATTCAAGGATATGAAACAGTATTGTCACCATCCATGAGAATGAGGAGTCGTGAACACTATTATCGGGAGAAGGCACTCACTCTACACGATCTCCAGGTAGCAGATCATTTTGAAACGAAGAATAATTACGAGTCCACAAACTTATGCTAATTGGTTGCGATGATTGTGCACAGCGAGGGATTCAAGGGAAGGAAAGGTGATCGAGGACAGACTCGGCTAATCACTCAAATTGAGGCGGACAGGAAAAGCAGTAGAAGACGCCATTGACGAAGAGCGGCACCTCGTAGTTTAGGGCCTCAAACATATCTGCTTGGGTTGGGTGAGATTGCAGTAATCTGGTTCAGAATTCTAGAGTGCAGAAACAGGTGAGAGAGAGAGAGAGAGAGAGAAATTAAAAATTAAATAAAAATAAGTCGTGAGGAAGTAGATTATAGCACCGAATGACGCACCTTAATGTGTATTCTTAGCCAAGCTAAAGAGCTCTTAGGTTGACAGGAAGAAAATTTGAAGAACCACACTTGGAGCTGGGCACTCGAATTTCAAAGGAGAAATATCAATTATCCGGTGCAGAACTAATTCGGTGGCTCCCTGAGTATCGCAGCCTCTTCACACTCTACACAGACACAATTGATCAGATGCCACGCCTACTACAGTCCTTTCTGAAAGTGACCTCGCCTCCACAAGGCTTCTAATGCGAACTGCAACTATTCACCAACTGTCGCACGGGAATCATCTCAGTGTCAAAAAACAGGAAATCTACAGACTGTAGTGATAAAGCGCAAGACGAGCACACCGGCCAGACCTCCGACCCCTGAAGCTGACCCAGCTCAGAGCCCGTGCTCAAAGCCATCAAAGCATAATTTATGTGCACCAGTTGACTACGTTGGACTTGAACAACTTACATTACTAGCAGCCACCGCGTCAACATGGAATACTGACGTTCATAGCTTGAGACCAAGTCAATAGTGTCCACAACACAATACAGCTCAGAATCCGACACAAGTTTAATATATCACAATGACCTTGTCGCGGTAGTTCTTAGTGCCACTCAACACTCTGCACGGATTCTTCATCAATATTCTTAACGAATCTATTCCTAACTCAATCTCGTAGAGACAGCAGGAATCACTTGGCCTCAAGAAAAACACAGCAGGTTCATCTAATTACAATTTGAAGGCAGTTGTGAATAAAATACCTGGAAAATTGCTTCTGGTGAACTTGAGTCTAAGCATACCTACCTCAGTTCCAATAATTGTAAAAAACAAAAACAATTACTAATCGAAGATACAGATAGAAGTCTTTCTGATGTCCAATCCACGACCTTAACTCACACTTCTGACTCAAATCTTCAGTCGAAGAGCATGAACTAATCCGATTTTTCTCAACCGCTTGGCTTCGATCTGCAATTACTAATCGGGAATCAGAGATGTACCAAAGAAACACTATGACAAAGTCTACTGATGAAATTCGATCGTTGAACGCAAACTGCAACAGCTCTGGACACTCGATCACCACTTGCAGGCTCCCTCTTCCGACGATCCTAGACCTTGTGAATCGAGTTTCTACAACGTGTAGGTGAAGGGGGACGATCCGCTAGTAGAAGTAGCTACATTTCAACAAATCACTTCATTCAACAACTGCTGTGAACTCGTCACCAACGGAGCAATTGGAGCCCGCCAGCGATGCTTTGTCTAGCCACCCAAGCTAAAGGGGCCAACCATTTGGCCGGTCGCAACCGCCATTGATTCTGGTGCACAGAAAAGTCACTGAAGCCTCGGTATCACGTCCTCAGAGGCATGTCTAACTGAAATTCCCAGGAATCTTTCGGTCTCTTCACGCCAAGCGGCCGGTTACTGACGGGGGTGGAAATTTCTCAAGGGAACAGACTTCTGCGCATGATCCAAATTCCTTCCAATTTTCGATCACATCCCATTGGTCGGTATCTCTGAGTATTTGGGCCTAGTCTCATCCTTGAACATGGATGCGCGCTTGCCGCAGCGCGACCAAATATCCTGACGCGGGAAAACCAAAAATTCACACCTTTTCCTCTCTATCTCTCTCTCCAATTCTCTACCTCACTTGCAATCGGTCCCACCGGAGCTCGCATGGCGATGTGACGTCGCGTTGGTCGTGGTGGATCGTGCACAATCGTCATCGTCGTCGTCGTCATGGCCCTACCGAAAAAGCTGTGGCGCTCTCGCTCGCCCCTCAGCCCGCTCGCCCTATTTGCCTTTTGCTGTCTCGCGCCTCTTTTCGGGACTGGGCCTCCTGGGTGCCTCGGCTTTTCACCGCGGCCATGGAGCCCGATCGTGAAACCTTCAGCGGAAACTGGTGCCCCCGACGCGGTCATCCATCCGACTGTGTAGTCGACTTCCACACTCCCGCCACGCGGATGTAGGAATAGAATCATTGTCCCATGACTTCAAATTCAAAATCTCATCCTATGCAATACTGATGCTTACGTGTGTATAAATATTATATGCGTGTAAATAGTGAAAAAAGAAGGTCCAAAAGAATGAGGATTCTGGTAGAGGTATAAAGAAGTAAATAAATAAGAGACTGTAATCCATTTTGTGTTTTATAAAGTGGCAATCTCGTTTAGTAATTCAAAAAAACGCAGTGAGATGTTGATTTGTGGCATGTGTAAGTTTGTCGAATTTATTGCTTATTGGTATTTAATTAGTTTGCTTATAATAGAAGTTTTCTTGTTAAACTTGACTATTGATAGCATTGCTGTGAAAGTGTGACAATGAAACTGTAGTTTAAAAAGAGAAGTGGAATGATCAACTTGAATCCATTATGAAATTGGCAGGTTTTTTTCTTTACTTTTTGTTTTCTCCATGTGCATAAAACCAAGTTGCCTTTCACAAGCAAATGCATGTTTATCTAGTGAAGAATACTTCATATATATATATATATATATATATATTTCTATTTCTATTATACCTTCTCACAATTTAGCGGCATTTATTCTCTGAACAGAGTACTTAATTGGATTAAAATTTCATTCATATGATAACTCAAATTATTTTTTCCACAATTTAATTCCGTTTTATTGTACAATATGTATGGAGTCTATTTCATCTATATTGCAAATATGCAATTTTATTGTAAAACAAATGAGTAGAAAAATGAACTATGTATTTATATTCATTATTTTTAAAGAAATATATATATATATATATATATATATATATGAAAAACCTTTGGGGCTTGAAGTGTTTTATTGCACCAAATGGATGGTTTCAGTTAAATAACGTGCATTGGAGGAAATAGAATTTTTAATTATGCACGTTTAGTTGCTTTGGCAATAGCTGTAATGTTCCTAATCACCTCATAAAAACATCAACTTATGTTTGTTACACTTAATCAATACAAAATATTTCAAAAGTGTAATTACCTTACAAAACAGTTAATGCCTTGACTTGTGAGGTTGCAACAATAGCTCTTGCATTCAAATTGTGAAGATTTTTTTTGATATTGATTGCCCCAAGTCCACAACTTTATAGCCATGTTATATCATTCTGTTTCAATCAATGAATAAATAACATTTACAATCACTTGATACATGGCACCAAAAATCTTACACAACACACCTTGGACCAAATAATATGCAATCTGAATTGCTATGATATTTTCAGATTAAAAAATGAAATTTTACTCTCAATATTCAAACCCTCACCGGTTGTTTGGACTGGAATAAAACTATAAGATTTTTACTTCACCAAACATGGATTAAACCACCACCTAATGTTGTCATATCTATCAAGTAATTGCACCCACAATACTAAACCCAGAGCTATTTATGTTGCATTAGTAACTGCTTATTAGAATTTAATGATGGTGTAGAAAGTTTTACTTCTTTTCTTTTACTTTTCTAAAAAATATTCATGAAAAAAATAATACATATCAATTTCAGAAAAAATCTCAGTGTAGCATACATTCCATGCAACACCCACATGAGCAACAAGTGTTATGTTGTGATTGATACATATATGAATAAAATGTTGGAATTCACCCTTGATTAAAGCCACCAATGTTGTACCAAAGGGACAGAGAGAGGAAACTTCATCATTTTTTATTTTATATACTTTTTTGAATCCTTATCTTTGTCTTTTTGGCAACAGGTTGTGGGGAGGTCGGCCCAATGCATGGCCACCTTTAGTTGATCATTGATAAATGTTGGCTTATGTTTGCAATCTCCCCTTTCATAAGATTAAATTGCTTGGGCTGGTTGTCCCCATGCTCCCCATCTCTTTGCCTTCATCCAGGCATTTTGAGTGGTTGACAGTGTGTGCACACTTGACATAAGAGATAAATAAATATAAACAACATCCATCTATCTATCTATCTATGTACATATACACACACAAACACACACATGAGTTCCCAAAATGGAACATTAAACAGGATGTTTGGTGGTCTTGGAATGCTGACCCACACATGAGCAAATATCCAACAAATTCACTTCATTTTCAATATGACATTCCCACAACTCTAGAGCTGATGTTCCCATGAGGAGGTGATTGAAGTTTTATTTATTTACTTTTATTCTTTTTATTCTTTTTATCACAATTGCTTCCATTTGAACACCATTTCAAAAATTATCATCAATTTTATTTCAATGATGTGATAAGTCAAACCCTAAATTGTGTGAGTGAACAAATGTTGGCAACCAAGTGTGACATGGCAAGTTCCTTCAAATCCAAACTGTTGGTCAAAATCTGTTCCATGCCCCCTGTAGTTTGTCAAATGAGTGTATCTTTTTTTTGCTTTTTTAATGGTTTTGGTTGGGTTCCCAAGGAGGGTGGGGGAGGGGGGGGGGGCAACTATAAAAGGGTCTTGTGTTGGTTGACTGACTGACATTTGGGCATTGACTGATTCCTAGCTTTGGAAGCATCTCACTTTTTATTTATTTATTTATTTATTTTCTCTTTCGTTCCTTCTCATTGCTTCTATGTGCTTCTCGTCCTCACTGGACTGGACGGCAAAGCAATTTTGTACAGGCTGTACAAATATCCAGTTGGATTGAACAGAACTCGCCAGGTGGCAACCTCTATAGGCTGGCCAAATAGATCACAACGTGCCCTGAGGTCATCTTATACAGGATTTCTTAACATGCCACGTAACCTTACAGAACAACAACAACAACAACAACAATAATAATAATAATATTTCTAAGATGGTTCTAGTAATAATAATGATAAGAATAATAATTCTAAAATGGGTGAAACTCGCTTCCCAAACTCACTGATACCGCGTGGTTGTATGTTTGTGGCGTAGTTGGATTTGAGCTTGTGCTGAAGGACAAGTAGGAGAAGAAGAAGAGGTTGTTTCGAGTTTTGCAAAGCTGTGTTTCGACGGTCACTGATTCCTAGCTCTCTGGATATGAAGGTGTTCACATGGCGACTCTGGGTTCAAGCAGATTCTTTCACCTTGCTACACCTGGAGGAATGAATGGGGTGCCGTTTGCTTCTCATTTCTGGCACTGAATTTGAACAAGATTCAAGTGTAGAGGTTTACAGGGTGTTGCAGGATATGACATGCACAAACGAAGAGGGGAGCAACCTCTTGTTGCACCTCCTCGTCCCTTTGCTTCGTCAGATCCTGGTTTAGGATTTAGGGTTTCAATCGATTTACCTACACAATGATAAAGGTCAGATGGGTTCAAGGTTGGGGTGGTATTCCATCGAGTAAGTATTAGCTTGTGATGAAACCGTCGACATTTGTGCCATTGTTCGCACCGTGCGACACTTAGGCTTTGAAACCTCGGTGATGGTGTGTGTGAGGGCCAGTTCTGAATTCGAGCATCAAAAGGATTATTGTATCGGTGATAGAACGTCTGCCATCTCGAAACGAAATCGTTGCAATCGTGCGAATAGGTGATTGAGATGCAAGCGCGACTCTTTTCCCCAGCATTTCTCTTGCTGGTTGGCTAGACATTCTATTCTCTCGATCAAGAGCGAAATTTATCTAGTGCACCATGATACGGTAAATGATTCGAAGGATAAGATTCAACCAAGAAAGGAATTTATTCGACAATGCATTCCCAGCCATCGGCTAGTGAGGGAAGGTCAAAGAACTGGGACCCATGTGCATAAGGACCCTTGAAGCTCGTGAGAATATTTGCTCGCTGTTCCATAAGCAATTGGCTACAAATTTTCAGCAGCATAAGAACATGGGGGATCAACATTGAAACACGCCCACATTGCTCGTTCTTTCAAATAAAATTCTGTAATTACATACAAGCATACTCCAGAACGACTTTCTAGCCCTCAAATAGATGCATAAATGAGTAATTAGGGCTGGAGTCACCTTCCGGCAGGGTTAGTCTCTATGATGAATTCAGTGTCGCGGCTTTGATGACAATGACGTAGAACCTCGCATTCAACTACATGAAAGCGTACGTGGGTTTTTTCCCTCCGATGCGACCTGCTCAGCGTGTGATGACTAGAGCAACGCTTCGGACACTCTCGAAATCTTAAGTTGGTCGGTCTCAGTGTTGAAAACGATGACCTACGCAGAGAGATGCCGACTAAGAACTTCTTCGAAGGCACTGTGGAGGTCCATATGCTCTGGACCGAAGATGTCCTCCGCTTTTGCCAGAGTTTCCTGCATCACCATATGTAGACACTCAATTAGAGCCTAAAAACTCACTAATGTGCAAGAAGAAAGGCAAGCAGCTCCCAAAAGAAAATTACTGGTTTAATGCTGCGGCTGCATGGAGGACACAAAATGTCGATAAGTATACCTCTCTTGTTTGCCGGTGTGCATTGAGCTCCTTAATATTGGCCAAAAATGAGCTGAATTTTTCATACGACAGCCGACTCCTGGCTTGACGGAAAAATTCCTTGCCATCAAGTCGAGCTGTGCGAGCTGCAATGAAAACAGAGACACGAGCATTCATAAACGCTGAACGGTTATCATGGAAACCTTGCACTCGGCAAGCATGATTCTCGTAATGAAGAGAAGTGACGAAGCTTTACATGTTTCATGCCCAGAATTTGGAGAGCTTGATCCGCTGGTTGGCAGGGAAGAAGGAATCTGGGTCACAGATGCACGAGGTAAAGCTTCTTTCTTAGGCTTAGGCTGGGGTGAGGTCATTGATGTGTGTAGTGGGGTCAGCCGCGGAGTCATCGATCCTCGTGCGGAATCTATTCCTCGCATGATTTGCTTCGGTGAAGTGTGTGCACTCTGTGACTTCGGCCGTGTAGTTCCACCTCCTGCACGAATCCCAAATCTTTTCCGAGACTCATTACATAGTAGAGGCGGCTGCCTATAACTAATACACAAACAGCAAAGTCATTCAAAACTTGTGCGATATTAAAACGCAATTAGCTAGTGGCATATACCAAGAAAGCAGTTATCAGTTCAGGATTGAAAAAGAAGAACTCTTCACCCGAATTAAAATCAAGCTCGTCCTGGTGTTGGAGTGACGCTTTTGCAGAGTGATCGGCATCCTCTAAAAGTTGGGTCCTAGCCACAGTTGTCTCCGCCTCTGTTGAATGCACATCACATGACAGAGGAGTTTATCGCTTTAGCACAAACGCTCAAAAACTGGAACTGACATCACATTCTCGTTTGAAATTAGTGTGCGGGTTGCAGAATAACGAGTTGATTTAGATCACGAAAGTTTCTCTTCGTACGTGATGCCTTCCACATTGCTGAATTTGCCGGGGGGTTCTCATCCTCCTGTTCAAGGGACTTCATAAGCGCCCGTTTAAATGTCTCCAACTGCAACAGTTGGAAAGACCATGCAGGAAATCTCAGTTTAGTAGCTTCAAGTAGCACTAGGCTTGGATATGGAATGGAAGCAGGTCAAAGTCGACGTCTGAGCTTAAAAGGGCCCCTAACCTTTGCAACATCACGCAACAAATTTTTCACTTGAGTTGCAAGTGCGTTCTTTTCATTGACCAGCTTCACCTGCAAAGAGAGAAAAAATACAAAAGATAATGCAAGATGGAGTAAAGAAACATGTGCAAGCTCTCTAACACTGCATGTGCTTCTTTGTTGATCGAAGATTCTATTCCTCTAGGTTCACCACAGAGACACGGTGCAACAGATGATCTCAGATTTTTAGTATAAGAATGGAGAGCTACTAAAAAACTAAAGCGCTTCGAGCTACGCATATTCCTACAAGTCAAGAATTCCAGGGCAAGGATCACAACGCTCGGTCGCTGCGTTCCTTGATCGTGGCGACACTGCAGCTAGTCAACAAACGAGGCGACCACATGGTACAAGTAATAGAAAGACCTGTTCGGCTTCAGAATGCGAAAGCTTGGCACTTTGTTCTTGCAAGGCACCTGTGGCCTTCGAAATACGCTCCTGCAACCCATGAATGACGTGCTCCTTTTCAGTCATCTTCTGGCGCAGCTTCCCGGCTTCTGTTTCCAGTTTTGACACGCGAGTCGACACAGCCATAGCCGTGATACGACTAGCGATATCTATTTGCTCGTACGGATCAGAGGGAAGCACCGACACCACCTCCTGCGATAGCTCAAATTCTCCTCCATTGCCCATTTTTTTTCACCCCTAAAATTCGCAGCGATTCTCAATAGACACCTCTAAACAGGAAGCCAAATTATCCACCAATTCCCCGATCCTCCTCGCTTCGCATCTCACGCCCCCTCCGGCTCCACCTTGGCAACTCCCATCCCCTCGTTCTCCATGGCAACTCGTGCAACGAAATTCCCCTCCCGACGCCCGTCTCTTCCTCCATCTTCACGGCAAGGAGGCGCAGCATCCGATGACGAGAAAGAGGATGAGAACAGCGATGCGAGCGCCGTTCGATCGTCGATCGACTGTAAAGTGACGCTTTTGTTTGTTTTATTTTATTTTATTTTTCCTTTCCTTTCCTTTCCTTTCCCCAAGGCTGGATGCGTCAATGAGCTGGACAGTGGAAGGAAAACCATCGCCACACGCTGCTGCTGCTGCTAAACCGACAAGCGGGGCAGGGCTCACGGAAGCGAGGTTGCCGTTTCGGATGGCTCAGCCTGCCGCATTCCCTCGATGCAAGCCGGATCCAGAGATCATCCCCCGCCAATATCCTAACCCCCTCCCCCCCTCCCCCCCCCCAAACCCGCGGGACCCAGATTCGGCCGACACCGCATCTAGGGACAATCGCCACGACCCAATCAACCATCCCCTCCCACTTCAATCTCACCGCCGACTTATCCATTCCGTGTGGCGGTCTCCGGTGCCCGCGATATTGTTCTCACGTGGTAATGGACCCTCTTATACGTCACCTTGTCCTGTAAAGCCGTGGGGGAATGTGACTTGGTGTGAACCTCAACATCTACACTAGCATATAGTGGATTATCCTATAAATATAAAACAGCTCAGGGGATACAACAAAGGAGAAAAACTAGTGGAGACATAAACTATCTCTGCTTGGCTACATGTCTTATTATTTTAATCAAAAGTGAAGCAAAAGTGATCAAAATCTGCATGTTGATGCAGATTGTGGAGAGTGGCATTGCAAGATCACTAGGCATGGAGCTCGGAAGCTCCCAATTGTAATTTTCAATAAATAAATATCAGTAAATATGTTTCATGGCCAAAGGCATAGGTTTTCACTAATCCTATAAATGTCAACAAGATGTTTTGTTGCAAAAATTTGGCCATAAATTGATGTATGTATAAATATTGTGTAATTATACACACACAAATCCAATAATAAAATAATATATTTTTTGACATTTCAAAATTAAGTCATGATGGATTTATGTATAATGCATTTTAAAATTTAGCTTGAACTTTGAACTGGGTGGCTGAAATGGATAGACTCTTGAGTTTCTGTGGGGCTTTATATTAATTGTGGGAGAATGCTATGGATCTCTTTTATGGATGAAGGTCTTGTCACCATATCATATGTATTTATCTCACTAACAATAAAACATACATCTTCTCATATTGCATATTTCATCCACTTAGTCTTCATATTTCGGTGCCTGGTTGATTTCTAGTTATTTAAATAATCGACCACCATAGCAACGAGCGTTACTAATTTGAGTACTTGCAACATATCACATCTTTCTAACTCAATTATCTGACTTAAGAAACGGTCAAGCTGATTGATTGATTGATTGATTTATATATATATATATATATATATTAAATGAAATAAAACTGTACATTCTAATTCTGTTGATTATTTTTTTATTTTTTCTTCTCAAGAATGGTTGTGTTTACCACTGGGCAGGTGCACTACACTCCTAGCTGTGGGAACTCAATGATTTGAGGATAAATCTGAACCTGATAATCTAATGCTGGAGGCTCACAATTATACATGGAGGACATGATAGTGTGGAAATAGGAGCATGTTAACGGACAATTGGCTCACATCAGATTGTTTCACACACAGAAGTAACCAATATAAGCAGAAGTGTTCTGTTGCTTACCAGCTGTGCCACATACTCATAACGAGTTTTTAAGTGGGTGCTCAAGACCACATACGCTCCATAAATTATGTGCTGCTTAGGTTGCACAAATCATGTGCAGTGGATGCGCACAAGTGCTATTTACTAATGTATAGCTACCATCTACCTAGATTTTTGGTACAAACAATTCAAACTCTTTGCTGATTTTAGCTGATACCACTAATTCAATGTTCCTCTACACTCAGGCGAACCACAAAAGCAAGGAATCTTATCACCAACCTCGTCGCAGTTGAATTTGTAGTCATACGTTACCTCCTCTGCAGCATAAATGTTCCTCTTTGCAAAGAAGACGACCTAAAACATTGTCAAAAACACTTTAGTCTGAGGCAAATCCATTGTAGACCAACTCCTTTACAGTCAATTCTGCACGACTTAATCGAAATAAGAGTGAGGAATATGTAGAGTTCACCTAAACAGAAAATCATTTTGATAACATAAAGATAATTAACCGTGTTTTACCTTTTTGAGGTTCTCTACGCAGATCACCTTCGCAACGCAATTAGGCTGTACAAGATCCAAGACAACATCATTAATAGGTGGTAACAACCTAAACGTACCCAAGAATTCCATGCAATCAGATATCCATATCCCAGCAAACCGGAAGTATTAGCGATTTCAAGAATCCCACACATACAAAGCTGGAAAGCTTGGAATAAGCAATCATGCTTACTAATTAGAGGTCACAGAGAAAAAAGCAATGCAGTGATTATCACTCAGTTATAAAAATGACCATGGAATAATTTATGTGTTAGTGAAGCTGTGTAATTAAGAGACATACTGGCTTTCTCAAGGAAAACAATAAGTCTGACTTGATATTGTTTAGTGTCAAAACAGGGAGAACAGGGAGCTTACCGAACAGGAATGGTTTACAAAACGAGCAATACCACCTTTACGGGTGGCATCAATGATCTGCTCCGTGTCTATCCTGAACAGGTAGCAAGCGCCCTGATATTGTAACCGTTTCCCAGAATGATACTCAGCTTCCCGCTTGTCGGCAACACGTGAACCCACTATCTCGCCTACGTATTCAACAACCTGATATGACACCAAAAGCACGAGTAATTAAGAAGCATACATGCATAGAATCCATATCCTTCCGAGACATCACATCCTTAGGTCCTTCAATCGTAACAAATGAGGATCAAGCCACAAAATCTGGCGACGGCTGTGACTGCACCTACAATTTGATAACATAGAACTGTGCACCAACTGGAGTTGGCTTAAAGATTTTGCAGATTGGCTCAGAGACGTGGACCCTTTGCAGGGACTTCGCATCATGCGACCATATCTAAAAGAAAGCCGCACGTGGACATATTGAAATGAGGTGTTGAAAGTTACAAAATCTCACCACTTCACCCTCTGCAATGAAATCCGTAGTGTAGAGCCCGAGTGCATGGATTCCTGATTTATATACAGCAAGTCTCTTCCAACCTTTCTTTTGCTTAAATCGAAGGTATTCCTGTCAGTCGTAGCATAATCAGAGAACTTCCCGCACTAACATACACACACGAGAAAGTAAAAAAGAAAGAGAAACGAAGAAGAACAAGAACAACAACAAATGTCTACTATCTTCACATTTCAAAATGGAGATAGAAAGGAATTGAGGTAGGAAAAAGCTGAATTTAAATAGTTGCAGCATTCAAAACTCATTAAACTTCCTCGAGAATTTTGAAACTTGTAGTATATCCCAGCGTTCCGTGAAAATAGACGTAGAACTTACTCGTTGATCACATTTCAAGGCTGAGGTAGCTGGTTTCAGAGACCGACGACTAGATATTTTACGAACATCGATCCGGAGTGCTGCAGTAACCTGCTCAGGAGTGACAGCCAAACCTCCTTCCAAGGTCATCCGCTGCTGTGCTTTGGCTCGTTCTTCCAAACTCAACTTCCCTTTGTATCCCTACATAAAAAATAAAAGGAAAAGAAAAAGAAAAAGAAAAAGAACAAAAAGGACCTTAATAAAGTTTCAGATTCTTTTTGTTCCAGGCAAACCAACTTTTTCAATGAGGCTCATGTAGCTCAATTTGGAAACACAGAGAAACATGTGACTTCATCTATCCAACTCACCTCAGTACGGACACAACTTTCCCGAGTGTAAGTACAAATCCCTTCCTTAGCTACATCGTCCGACTCACTACCACAATAATCGCCATGAGTTTGACATTTCCCGAAAAAACCAACTCGATTGCTACCATCCTGTACAATTTCACTTTGCAACAGACCCTGCATAAAAAAAGCATAAATAATAAATAAATAAAAGATGGAACCACATCAGTGAAATTGCAATTATAAATATTTTACTCTATACACATGAAACGGAGCCAATAAATAGCTATACAAAACGCCCATCGAATCCTAAAAGCCATCGTGATTGGAATTTCGCCTAGTCTTCGAAGTGACCAGAGTTTCCAAACTTAGGTCTGTATTTAAAGTGCCAATTGGAGACAGTTACCTTCTCATGGGCACACCAGACGTGAATTGGTGTAGAGCAATTCGGTACACGACACTGTATGCAGGCACCACCTCTTCTGTGACATATGGAGCATAGCTGCCAATTCAAGCATAACTTCAACTTCAGATTCACGGGTACAAGTATCCAACGCTCCGATTTAACCACCAAATAAGAAAACCCAACCTGACTCCACTATAAACTTCCAGCATCCAAACTACTTTTACTCCAAACCCAATCTCAGTCAGGATGAGGGAAAATTAAAATGCAGATTTTTTGTATCTGTATGCAATGTGAAGAAAAGACTAGGACTTGCAGATATTGACCAAGAAACTAATCCTCAACATATCTCATCAATCCACAGTTCTCTAAACCAGACATTGTCCAATCTACCTATTTATTTTCCAACCCCACCTTCAGTCCAGTCAACCTTGCCCCACCTAGTTGTCACATGCAATTGATGAGTTCCTCATCAATCGTACAGATAACACAGCTATAAACGATTACACGATCAACCAAATCTATTTCCGGCTAGAATACTTGTCTACTAACCATTTTTCGAAGGGATGCATTTACATTCGAAACATCAAACACTCCCATGGTGCCCATGTTCAGACACCGCGTTCCGGGCATCCACAATGCGCACACCATATGCGCCCACTGTTTGGCTGCAACATCCTTCAAGATGCTTCGAACTGTATTGTTCCTCAACCAACTTTCATGTCCTGAATTTGCAGTCACGACCCTATCAGGATGCTTCACCATATTGCCGCCACTGCTTCTGTGTTCAGGACTGTCCTTGTGACAAACTTTGCGAACCGAATTTTCATCTCTGGGCTCCTCACAATCACACGAGTCACATTCTCTGACATTCGTAGGATTAATCTTGAGATCCTTTCCTGGGAGATTAGAGGTCGACTTATTCCTGGATAACTGATTGTTCTTTGTTGCTGACAAAAGGGTTTCTTCATCATCCTCTATAAAGGAGTCAAGTATGCTCTCATCCTTCATGTCTCGCCAGACTCGTAGTAATCCGTGGCAGAAACTTCGAGATTTGTGGACGCGGGTCATAGCTCCACCCCCGTATCCACAAAGTACACATATCTGAATAAACCAAGCCACAACTTCTCAATTTCCACATCCAGACAGATTCAGAAAAGTTTTCTTCTTTTTGGTCAAGATTTACAAAATTGTTTACATGAAATTGTTCTAGCATAAATAACATTACTATCCACGCTCGAACCTAAAAGAATAGCAAACCAAATACCTCGACTATATTCCAAACAAATGGTTAACCACTAGAAATTCATGAAATTAAAAACAAAGCCAAAGATTTCCCAAAATTCCAAAAGAAAAGAAACATATCAAGCCAAGCAAAAGCAACAAAATTTTTCAGTCAAAATAAAGTGTGCTCGTGAATTTGCGCGTACCGGATTGGTAACCTTGAATTTACAAGTACGACACGACCAAGGCCCTTTTGGAATCTTGGGCACGCCGTAACATGCCTGATGAACCTGTGCAAGCAACGATCAAAAATTGCACTTAAATCAATTTACAGGTCACAAGATCAAACAGACATCGTTAAGGTTGGACTCAAGGGTTCAAAAAGAACAAGAATATAATACCAAAATGAATGTTAAAAAGAAAAAACTAAAAACTGGAAACTGCCAACAGCAACAAAGTCAGGGCAACCAAATGCACCAAAATCTAAGCTCGTACTACACTAGAAGTTCAACAGAAAGGTCCATATTCGTTAATGTCCATTCTTACCTTGACTGGACACCGACTACAACACAACAACTTATTGTAGCTGGCTGAGGTAAATATCCCACAAACGTCACATTTGCTCCTTTCATGAGGGTTAGGCTTTTTTGCTTCAAAACTAGCCACTGATTTTTCTTTATTGAAATAGGTAACAACCACCTCTTTCGAATTCGTGGGTTTTCCTTTCAAGTGCACCTTCATGTTACTTCCTAGACGGGATTCCACCGGCTCTTTCAACTTTTTATTATCTAGGACGAGCTCTCCCTTGGAACTGCACCAAGCATCAGGCACGCGGAACTCTCAGAAAAAAAACCCCTCTTCAAAAACGAGATCTAAATTTTACATTCCATTTTCTACACCAAACAGAGTCCACCAACAAACTCGAAATAGATAAAATCTACTACCATACAGCAGGCGTTAAGCTTATACAAAAACGATCCTTATGCACCATACAGACGCGATGAAAAAGAGTACTGGCGATCAGCACTGTTCAGAGCCTTCAATAAAGCAACTAAAATCGACTATATGATGAAATATAGCAGAAACGAACTTTTCCACAACATACATAACCCTACCTTATTAATGAAAAACATGACACCAAAAAACATTTTGCACATTTCACATCAAAAGTTACCTCTTTGACAGAGCACCGTTTTCCATGGATCTCTCAATCTCGTATACTGAGCTCTCTTTCACCCTCTTCAATCCGGGAGCCAATTTCGAGCGTTTAGCACCGATTCCAGGCAGAGACAACAGCTGAGGTTTTCTTTTAAGCACTCCTAGTCCAGTTATGCCCCCTTTTTGTATATGCCTCACATCATGCTTCACTGCGCCTGTATCTCCCACTCGCACTTCATCATCAAAAGCTCTTGCGTCTTTGACTTGCAACTCATCCTGCGTCACTTTACCTATATTCACCTTACTTGACCGTACCTGCTTCCTAACGAGGCAACCCTGCTCACCAAGCCCCTGCTGATGCTTTACTTTTGAGATACTGTTGCCGCTTGCTGGCCTCACTTGTGATAAGTCGCACACAGAAGTCCTCTGCCTATCAGTAATTCTTCTCTCCCTCTCTGCAGCTAAATTCTCACTCTTGGATTGTTCTATCTGTGCGTCTTTGCTTCGGTGCCACTCTACTTTCCTTCTATTTGGAACCCCTGGCCTTGCTGACCTCTCACCGCGAGGGATAGGGCCATTGATACCCATAGATGCAGGTCGTGGTGCCGGGTTGTCCATTTCTACAGCTGCTGACGCTAGTTTGTCAGCTTTCAAAACTGCTGCTGGATCTTCATCCTCAGCAAACTCAAACACCTCTGCACCTGGCCCAAGCGTATTGTTCTTACAAGTCAACTCCAACAGACTTCGGACTTTCCGATTTAGTGCATCTTCTTTGTGCATCAACCTCATCCTACGTTCTTCCTTAAATACTACATCAGTGTCAGGATGATACCGATCTTTCACTTCTTTCGAATGACCGGCTCTAACACTGTCAGAACATGCACGTGCATCATCCCTCTTCTGCAATGCACCTTCCACTCTGGATTTTGAAATCTTACATGCTATTCCCATGTTAGAATGAACTCGATCCATCACTTCTTTTTTAGGATCGGCTGTGATACCATGAGTAGCAACGTGTGCATCAGCCTTGTGCATTATGCTTTTTATTCTAGGTTTCGAAGCCTTCCATGATACTCTCATGTCAGGACGTTGTCGATCATTGACTTCTTTGCCATGTCTGGCTGTGACACTGCTACTAGCTACGTGTGCATCTAAACTCCTCTGAATCGTGCCTTCATTTCTGGACTCTGGAAAGCCATCCCTCAGCTTCTGTTCGGTTGGCCTATTTTGGACTTCTCTGGGAACTGGGTTCGCATCTTTGGCGTGTTTCAGAATCACGCTTAACGACATTATCTTCGCGTGTCGTGGACTCGGTCTGGCCAACGGCGTTCGCGGACTGCGAAGGCTCTTCGTCAAGAAAGTCGGCACTGCAATCGGACATACATTGTCTGCTTTCCCTGAACCTGAACCACAAGTAGCCGAAACTATGCTCAGAGCCCCTGTTTTGGGAGTCGTCGACATACCCATCCCTGCCTCACTGCTGTATCCTATGTCCGGACAACCGTCCCCACCTGCGTTACTTCTCCAATCCTTTCCGCCACAATTCAACTGTAACTTCGTCCGGATCCCTTTTTTCACATTTTGACGATTCACGCCAGATGTAGGGACTCGTTTCACCAGAGTGCTCGCCTTATTCTTCGAATCCTCACCCAAGCTGGCCGCCTCAACATTCTCTTCAGTCACATTCGTCGTCTTTACTTCTTGGTGCCGTTTCGGTATGGCGAGCTTCCGACGCTTGGAAGGCGGCAACATCTCTCCGCTCAACGCTTTCAAGTCCTTTGTCGAGAAGTCCGTATCGGCTCTCGCATGTGCCTCGTGCACCTGGGATCCCAATCTTACCTTCTCTGATGTAACCGGAGCTTCCGCTCCGTGTCCGAACGAACTCGTTGGGCTGACATCCTTGGCAGCTCCTCTGTCCCCATCCAACTCCAGCAATTTCCATTTCATGTTGCGCCGCTGCTTCCTCTCCAGTATGCCTGCCTTCACAAAATTGTGCAAGTATGTCACATGTTTTTCGATTCGCAACAAGCCACTCTAAAACTCAATTTTAGAACACACTGCACACAACCAAAGTTGGACAAAAATTACTTCAAATTACTCGCCTGTGCTTGTCACCGGCTCTGCTTCCACCTCATTGTGCTCTGTCTCCTTGCTACTATAGTATCCTCCGATGCCTCTTTTCATTACTAACCTCTTTCCCATATTACTGGATGATGGGCATTCGAGGGATGACGGAGACGCATGTTTTCTTGAATCCTTCGACACAGATAACGCATTCGGATTCGTGCCCACTCCCATGTCCACATCCTCCGAGGAAGAGCATTTACCTATTCCAGACCCTTCATCTACAACACCTGCAGCAGCCGTTACACCCGACTTTTGCATCAAAGGGCATCCTTTCCCACTCGCAGCACATCCTTCGTCAGAAAGTCCGCTTGAAACATTCTCTGAGCTGTTGGAACAAACATCCCTACAAGCCGCACTCAATGGACTGCCACGCCCCGATGTAGTGCCCTTCGCAGCAGTATCCGACAACCCGTCTTTTTCTTCAGGGATCACTTCTTCGCATTTTGCACTCACATCTTGGTTTTCCACATCCGTCCCCCCCTGTCTCGGTTCCCATGGCAGGGCCTGACCAATAGAATCACGAGTGGCCTCTCTCTCCTCCGCTGGGTCCGTGTTCAACCGTGGCTCCGTGTCTAGCTGTTGCACCTGAGCACAGCATTCCAATGCAACATGCTCGCCTTCCACCAAACCAACTCTCTTTGCATCTTCCACCGTGCTTGCAAGTCCATTCACCTCCTTCAGACAGACTTGTCCGGTGAACCTAAACAACCACCACACCCATCATTAAACCATGATCAAAAAGTCAACTCTTTATCTCGAACCCTTCGCACAAACCCAACTTCTACATGCAACGAAAAGTGCGTCTTAATCCGCTAACTGTGTACGTCAAAGATGCTTCTGCCTAACACTACCAGCCATAACCACATCACTCGATATAAAACAACGATCATCACCAACTCTCAGAGAAACGCCGTAACGTTTCCTCACCTTGGTACAGCTTGCCCTCTTGTACATGGGCTTGCTTTCCTGCATTTGAAACAAGCACACTGTATTTCCCCTCTAGTCACAGACGGAACTTCAGGTTTCCTCTGTAAAATTGCACCCGGTGCGTCACCAACCCCCACCTCCTTTGCTGCCGGATCTGCGAAATGCACTTTCTAATGTGTCAGAAACGGCACTGCCCAATTACAAATCTGAACGTATTCCATCACCTACCTTAATTTCCAAAATACTAAGCCAAATCACATCTCTGACGGCATTCAGAACATGATTCCTAACAACCACAACATAACATGCAGGCCTTGATTAAAGACCTGCTAGAGGCTCCGATTGCACATGCACATGCTCGGCTTCATTGCCTTTGATTCCACCATCACCTGAACTCAACCGGTTCGAAATTTCTGAATTCTGCACCTTCGACACCACACCCCGAACAATCGCGTACACTGCCTCAGTATCGCCCTGTGACAAAGCTTGCCTGTCGTCCATTACTGTCTGCTCATTTTGACTCTGCCACTGTTTCATTTCTGTCCTGTTCAACACTATTTTCTGACCCTCTGATACATGTTCAACACCCGGTGCTCTTCCTATCTCCTCACACCTTGCACTGTAATCTCCCTGAGCAAGTCTGTGAGCTGGAGGTTGAACCATCAACGTCGTCCCTTGTTCTCGTACTTGGAAACCAAGCTTTGGATCCTGCTCCAGCCTGCTGCCATTTGCATTATCAACAGCCCCTCGAGAACTTATCCCTGGATCGTGCTGACCTTGGCTCCTCATCAGGATGTCCGAAAAGCTTGCACGTGCACCGACAGAGGCCCGTCCAAACATGTCCACATCGTTGGACAGATTTTCTGCACCAATACCCCTACTCAGAGCGCCCTTCAACTGCACCCCGGGACCATCCAGCTCCGTTGCTCGGTAGGTGAACGATGACTGGTTGGCTGCTTCCAAAAACTTTTGTCCAGTCTTGTGAGTTAGCTGCGCCAACTCCCCTGTACTTAGCGAATCCAAGCTCGTTCCATTCTCCAATGCCATGCTACGGGATTGATCAATTTGTGATATGAGCTTCGTCGCCACCTTCTCCGACCCCGATTGCACACTCCGAAACTGACTGTCTCCACTCCTGCTCAACATGCTCGACTGGTGAATGGATTCTAGAGACATGAATTTCCCTTGAACCTGATCTGGTACAGCATTTGGTTCGTAGGCCCCTTGTAAGGAATGAAATATTTGCCTAGTACTCTGGGTTAAGTTGTGATAAGCTGGGCCTCTATCCTCTCCGCGCTTTTCCAAACCAAAACTTTCCAGGCGATCTGTCCTTACTGGAGCTGATTGTCGTGCAGCAGTGACACCATGCTGCATCCTCGCCTGGCCAGGAATGCCAGAAAACTTCGGTAGATTCGGCGTACTGAACGGCTGTAAATTATGTTGCAACTTTCCATCCCACACTGTCAAGAAACAAACAAATAAAGACATTCTCACATCAATCAGAAAATATCTACAACCTTCACATCAATCCAAAAACCATACCCTGTCCTCTAACGCAAGACTATTCCGTGCTTTTCACATTGGCTACAACCATAGCAACATCGGTAAGTCTATAAGCCACTGCTGTTATTTGCGTTTTCAACCTTACAAGCTGTGGTGCGGTATACATCTTTCAAAACGTGCATACTGAACATGTGATTAAGCAACAACCTTTGCTCGTGACTTGCTCGAACAAATGAGGCTTCGGATGGTCCACGCTAGAGGTTGCCATGGATGAGAACGAAGTCCCTGCAGCCTGTGTTTGCTGAGATGGCTGCCCCAGACGTAGCTCAAAATTGGACAAACTATCGTTCTCTCTTGTGCGATATTCTTGCCCCTCGGTCCATCTGTTTGCCCAATAGTTTATTCCTTTCCCATTCCTAACACTGGCACTCACCTGCTGTCCCGCAGAGGAATAACGCTGGCCTCCATCGTTTGTAAGATTATGTTCATTGCTCATGTCCACTTGTCCTGAATTAGACATGCTTTGAACCATATTAACCCCCATGTATCCCTGATCCCTCGAAAGGCTCTCGTGCGGTGAAGCTGTATGCAACTGCCCAGACCCGACATCAGATGTCGCGCTCGCTCCTCTGTACGACTGCCCGTACGTCTTCAACACCGTCTCCCTGGAATCCATCATGCCAACATTTCCTGTGTTCAAAGGCCCGAACTTTGTATTCGAGAAGGACTCCGCAGCATGCAGAGTCGAAGTGCTCCCGATGCCTACGGAGGCATCCCACAGCTGTGTTGTTCTGCTCTTCATCATCGGACTGCTCCCGCCGCACGAGACGTCCACTTCTTTTTGCCAACTTTGCGTGAACACAGCTTTATACCGTCCGTGCCCTGTCTCAGCAGGGCTAGTATCTTTATACTTCCCGTGCCCTGCCTCCACAGGGCCAACATCCAGCCACTCCCAACCCATGTTGTCTTCCCGGAACTTCACCTGCCCGCCCACCGCACTTAGTGTGAGCATAACCGCAATTACCTTCACTATTCAAGGTAAACGCACTTTGAAACATACTGAGAAGCACATCAAAGTATCCAAACCAGGCAATGCTGATGATGGCTACCATTCTTACCCCGCATAGTAAGAGAAATGCCTTTCGCCATTGTACCAAAGTTTCACCTCCCTCCATAAACACCACTTGCCCAGGATTCGAAACATGAAGTCCTGAATGCTGCACGAAACCACACCAAAAATTCCCCTTAATCGTTAAGGACGGGACAAGGGTAACAACTTCATCACTTCCATAGCACTGCCTATTCCACACATCATTTACAGGAATAGGTCCTGCAGGGGCCATGCATTACAAGGCAGTGGTTTCTCACCGGACCAACAAATTATGCACTCCTAACACAATACCTGGGTGAATTTCGAAACCGACATGTATTGGCCGTGGCAGCTGCAAGTCACCCCCAAACGCCATGTGTCAGTGAAGCTCAGCTGCCCACCTGCCACAACACTTTTCAAATCTAAATTCTCCCAGTAGAACTTCCGCGCCGACCCAAGTTGATATGAATCAGGTCGTCAACCCGAGGCCCGAAGGAACCGCAACAGATATGGAACTACCATCAACTTCACATCCAGTAACGTGACTTCATGCCAAGAAAATAAATTACAGCTATTGAAGAGACCCACAATCTGCCTCCACCCAGCCAATGCCAAACTTGACATATCAAACAAGCGACCCTTCTTGCAACTAGCAACCATGTACCCAATAAAATATGTGAGGGGATACATTCTACAGCTGCACCATACAAGCCCACAATAAGATGAAGCAGAGCGGAAAATGTGTGGCGAAATTTCTCTACAGACACTCACCTACAGGTAGTCCAAAGTAGTTCACACAATAAACTCGAAGCCCCCCTGGTAAAGTCGGGCCTGGGGTCGAGTGAGACTGGTGGGGTAAACCGGACCCCAAATTGGATGACATCGAATCAACTTTGTGCAGATCTCCATTAGTCGAAGACAGTGTCGACGCTTGCACACTTTGGTATCGCTGCCTTTGTCTCACTGGTTCAGCCAACCAAGGTGGAGAAGGAAAAAGTCGGTTCCCCTCCAAGCTCAGCTCCTGTGTAGCCCTGCTGAAATTTGGGTAGTGCGACAAAAACTCAGCACCCGGTGCCCTCGACCCGTTCAAAAGGAAACTTTCTTGTAACCTTCCACCACTCATGACGTTGTAGTCCCTACCGTGTCCAAGAGACACATCTGCTCCTGAAGCATACTTTGCACTCCCATCTACACGGTTTGTTAGTGACGAATTAGAAGGACTTAGAGTGGACCATCCGTCACATCCACCGTACTCTGCCAGATTCAAATGAGTGAACGGATTAAAAGAAGCAGGGTAATTCGAACGGGCACTGATGGATGGAGGGTTATTCGGTCTAGGTGGATGCTGCTGGGACCCTGAAACCATGGCCAGGAGTTCCGACTTGATCTTGTTTGCACTGAACCGCTGAGAGCCGAAATTCATCACATTAGGAAGCACCGGCTCTTGCCTGAAAGTGCGCTCGATGATGCAGACCTCCTTACCCATGTAAGACTGGGGTAATTGCCCTGGATCCAAATTGAACTATGACAAATAGCCCACATCAAAGAGATAATCAGCACTTCCGTAGCAAACTCAGAAAAGCTGAAATCAATGAATTCATCATCACCGATAAAATAACCACCATTCTATGAGGTTTTAGAGAAACGAATGCTGAAACCTGCTGAAATTCCATACGCGTTATCTACAAATTGTGATTGAAACATCTTCCCGTTATTCATTGCACAACCTGCTTCATTTACTTGACAAGCTGCAAAGAAATGCTACAAGACGCATCCCCTTAAACATGTAGACCTAATGGGATTAGGCAATATGTCCAGGTAGATAAACAATATTTACCCATAAATTGGTATACAAAGTCTCTTGTTCAAACAACTCCATGTATAAAACCCTAAAAGCTATAATCACCTTCGCTATACATTGTCCTCCGATTTCACACCTTTAGGATTACCAACGCTAGATACTAGATGCAGCTGAAAGTTGATTGTTCAGCAAACACTACAAGGCCTGTGCAGGATTCTGACTATCACAAAACAAGTTCTGTATGAATAGATATATTTATATATATATATATATATATATATATATATATATATATAAACATACAGTAGTTCCCCAAAAAGCAATCCTTTCCTAGACGTTTCTTTAGAAATTTGGTTTACCTGGTTTGGTGTTGATGGGCTCGGCTGCGCTGGGGACTTGCTCGAGGATGACCTCATATTCCAAATCTCCTCCATGGCCACCACCCAACTTCAAGTACCCCGACCTAAACCATCAGCTTAGCTCTGAAATGACAGAAAAGACTCAGACTCGTGTTTAACTGAATAAAAACTCACAATGCGGATCCCACTTGCATAGATTAAGGCATGTACAGATGTCAACATCACCGAGCAGAATAAAAACGAGCTATGATACCACTACATAATAGGCATGCAGGGTCCAGTAACTGCTGCAGTCTTTCTGGCTGCTCTGGATGACCCTACCTTCAAGCCAAACAATGCACTGCAGTGTAGATGTCATCGACAAACGGCGAAATACATGCTCTTTGCTCACTAGCACGCTCAAGGGTAACAAAGACATAGTACCTCGCAACCAGAACCTCTACTGTTGAGCTCAGCGTTAATTACACCTTCTCGATGCTCGTTAGCATTACAAAAAGTGAGCATTAAAATAGTATAATAAAAACGTGAAGGTCCCAAGCTGTAGTTTACTACTGCTGCACTGTATCGATTGCTACGGTCTGGAAAATACACGCCTGTGCTAAAAGTCTACTCGAAACATATGCCTACTGCCAAGCTCCAGCTTTTCACCTATCTATGTATCACGGAACACAGACACGAAAATAATCGAATGGGATAAGCAAACTCTTTCATCTGCCTACATCACTCAGCATCGCATACACGACGTAGCTCTGCCGCAATCCCTTGGACAACAATCACAAGCTTCGCTCGAAACTTCCCATCACACCCTCTGACCTCTGCTCTTGCAAACTCACCACTCAAAATGTGAGACACCCACCTGAAATCACTAGATCCTTTCCGGACACCACACCATGTCATATGCAAGAACCACGATACTGCGCTCGCTGGTTTCGAAAAATTCAATAGTAATCCCCGACCTTCTCCCACCCTACCCAGCCCAGTCCCGCCACAACCCCGCCCTGCTCCGCTCCGCTCCTCTGCAACCCCCTCAATCCTCACAAAATTCACCTCACTCAACCTCCCACAAAAGCATACGACATTCACAACTCCCGCAATCACTCTTGATCACCATCAATCCGCACCTCCCGATGCTAATCCTGGCCTAGATGACCTCAACCCGAGCTCAACCATCGCCGTCATCCTCACCCAACAGCCAATACCCTCCATAGGAGTTCCCCATAACGGCATTCCCTCACATCCCCAAGCCACCCTCCGAAAATAGCAACGCCGTGTCGCCCCTGAGGTAGAGAAGTCGACGACCCAGGTGAGATACTACTAGAGGGAGAAGAGAATGATGCAGCAAGGGAGAGCCGTGAAGATTGGTGCAACTCCGAAAAGGGTCCGTGGCACAATTCCTCTCGCTCAATTCTCACTTGTGCTTTCAGTAGTGTCTCCCCCCACCCCACTATTCCATTTCCCTCTCGCTCTCCTCCTCCACTTCCTCGCAGCCTCGCTCCGTGTGTGTATGTATGTTTCCCCTGCGCTGGTGTTGCTGCGGGCTGAGGACTAGGGCACCCCGCGGGCTTGGGTGCCCATCCCCTCCTTCGGCATCGGCTTGCAGCGGTGGAACCCAATGCTTCGACATTCACCTGGAACCCGGACTCTCTTTCTCGTCGACGTCGTCGCCGTCGTCGTCGCCGTCTCTCCGCTTTTCTTGCTTTCTTGCATGTTTGCTTGCTTGCTTGCTATTCATAACTTTCCCCCACTTATCGATCCTCCTTCTTCATTCACCTCACACCCACTTTATTATAACCCCTCTCCCCGCCTTTGTCAATGTTGACTTCCGCAATTCGGTCCCTAGCCCCCAACTAGCTAGATAGCCCAGCCCCGCTCTCCCTGGTCATCATGCGGATACACTGGGCTGCGTCGTCGGGACCCTCGTAACCCATTTGCGTCGATCACACCAGTGGGATTCCAACACTCGAATCACGTCTACATTCGCTAATTAGTGGGGTGTTGTTTTCGGGATTTGACCTCTTATCTGTTGAGGATTAATCGCAGGTTTGTTGCATGACTTTTGTGGGTGGAAAACTGCATCGGGTCTTGTGACCTCCATGGTTGCAGGACAAATGCGGGAATGGGTGTGTGACTGGATGCGGAGCAATTAGGGTACTCATCAAAGGTGGTGTAACAAAATAGGGTGATTGTCAAATGAGGCACATGTCGTGGGTCAGTCGGCATCGAGTAGGGTGAGGTGGGTAATGAATGCCACTGATGTAACGGCTCAAGCATGCTGTACAGGTGACCCCGAAAACAAACCACGGGCGGCAAATGAGGGGCTTCATAAAATGGGATGTTTAGTCCGAATGTGAGTGGCACAATCAAGTGTATTCAGCTACTGGATAATCGGTCCCTCATATGTGCTGGAAAGATAAAACTTCGAAGGTATCTAAGAAAGAAGTACATCCCTGAAATTGTAACGAAGCATCGCCGATAATGGATGCCGGAAGATGGGAAGCGCATCTTCTAAAAAAGATAATCCTCCGCTTCTCCTTGAGGTGATGAAAACTAGCCCAATGCCACAAGATACACGGGATTCGTAGAGGTGCGTTCGAACATCTAAAAAAGTTCCCCAATTGGTCTGTGTTTGCAGCTTCACAGGCTACCATCACACTGTATTGCTCCATTCCATCTAATTCAGATTCCAGAAGGGCTTAATTCAAAAAACCTCGCATAACACTCTGGAAATCTTCTCTCCCACAGCTATTTCATCGAGCCTGAAGCGGTTGAGATTGAGGCTCAGATAGAGTTTGTTTTCCGGATTTGTTGATAACATGGCGCCTGCTTTCTCTGGCATTCAAACTCCGGTAATACTAAGAATTGCAGCCGTTGAAGATGTTCAGCTGTCTCCGTGTCACCTCTACGACACCAGCTCCACAGCTTCAGTAGAACTTTTGTGCATGGAATACAACCAGCACCCATCTGGAGCAAGAGCAATTAGGTTAGAGGTGCGTTCATCACATTCTGTCCTGTCTAGATGACTGTTAATTATCGTGAGGCATACTCTTAATGATCTCTGCCTTGAATATAGAACTATCACCGTACCTCTTTGTAAATAAGGATGGAAGGTTGCTTACCATAGAAGCGACGAAGGCAGAAGCTGATGGTAATAAAACATTGTGGCTGATCCAGGAATGGCCACAGTACTTAATTAGCAGAAGCCATCCGGCTTTAGGTGTACTTCGATTGTTGAGGAATCGTAAAGAATTCGTAGCAGATTCCTCGTCATGGACTTCTGTTGCTGCTGTGATCAGCTCTACCAACATCTGCATTTGTGGAACCACTTGGTGCGCCTGAATGAACACAAAACGAAGGAAAAAATAAAATAAAACCGGTTGTCAAATTCACAAACTGAATAGCTTAGTAACTGATACTCAGTTCATAATCGAAGATATTGCTGAGAAAAACTCTCTACGCAAGAACGGTGTTTCACATTCCATTCTGCAAGGAAACAGACAAAAAAACTTTGACCATAAGAAATCATACGTTCGCATTTTCACTATCATCTGAAACGCAGTATGATCAATATCAAACTACACAGTTTATGAATTAAAGTTTTGTTAACATGGCCGAAGCAAAGAAATGATGTTTAGTCTGAGAACCAAGTGCAACCAACCAATCACAACATGAAAGTTCCAAAAACATTCCGCTCTGCACTTTATGAGTAAAATGAGTAAAGTAATTGTTGAGAAGGGGTGCCGGCACTGTATGCTTCTCAGATCCGCTAATCTGGAAGCAACAAACGAAATACGCGACAATTCGGAATGTTCCAGTCACACCATGACGAAACTCACTTCTCAAACAAAAGGTGTACAATAGTCGAGTTAGCATTGAAACTCCACTCTCCAATTCAATTATCGCTCGGTGCAGAATAACAGGTGAACATCCAGGCGGAGTTTTGCGCGGAGCAGTAGGTTACAGGATAAGATGCTCGGCTCGTTACCCTTCTCTACTGCATCTGTCAACTTGACGAATTCATTGCACAACGGGCTTGAACCCAGATGGCTCAAGCCCTTAGTATTACGCTGCTCGAGGGACCAGGCCCTTGAGGCTTGGAAGCCTGGCATTGGGTCTGACATCGCAACATTCACTTCCAGGTGCGACGATGTTTGTACGTATTGGGCATTAATGCTCAGCTTTCTTGCATCCTAAAGTAAATGCACCTTAGAACCTTTCCTCTCTAAGTCACCTGCCTCTAGCACCCCCATGTCCACACGGCGCAAGCGAGCGAGCGAGCGAGCTCAATCTCCGACTCACCACATCCCGATACAGCTAATACAACTGCTTGCGCAAAACCTTCGAGCACTCTCCGGGCGCTATCTCTGACTACATCTTAAAAACCTCCGTAGGCCTTCAATTCAAACCCTGCCTCTACTCACACCTTCAATTCCGTTAGACTCAGAACTTTCCGGCCAAAATTCCACTCCCCTAACTTCAAACATCAACCTCTCCAAGCTCGGAAACTTCTCCAGAGTGCACCATGTCAAATAAAAGTAGCCCGTGGAACCAAGTGAATTTTCAAGGAGAAGTCTCAGACACCATGGCTGGGAGAGGTTAGAACTTCGACGTGGTCGTCATCAACTGATGCTCTGTACGCCGACGCAAATGGTGACCGGCGAGTACATGCGCAAGCTTGCACCAATCGATGGCGATAGCAAGCAACCAAACTTCTGCAAGACATAGCAGGTGCAATGGAAGTCCAACTTGGCTTCAATGGAAGAGCGCAGGCCCAGAAGTTCCACCTCCAATTCACAAGATAAGTCGAGGCAACTTGGTCACTTGCAGAGAGCTTAGCTTTACATCGTGACCAAGCTGAGCATAAAGCTCATTCATCCTGACTTGACAATCAGCAAGTCCAATCAAATACTAGGCCACGCATCATGGCACTGCACCGGATTTCCAAGTCTGGATGTGCACGTAACATAAATTCATGTTAGATGGGCCAGTGAGTCCTTGGGTAGTCAGTTTCTTGTCAGACCTGCCACATCGAGCATTCTGTGTGTAGCAACGAAGTCTGTAGATTTCACACAGTGTAATGTTCAAACTTTACTTTTGCCCACTGAACCAAGATTTCAGTGTAAACTTACACGAAAAATGTCTACTGCAACTCTAATTCTGTGCATAACAGAAGACTGGCAAGCGAGAACCTGCTGCTTGACAATTTCCCTTAATTCGTATGTCCACATTCCCCTTTGTAGCAGAATTACCTTCAAATCTGTACACATTCCGTTGCATAACCAAGGTGAATACGCCCATACGTGGCCGAGTACATGCGTTCTCCAACAGCGGATTCGTTATAAACAAGGACAACAGCAACAATCCTTTAACCGGTTCACAAAAAACACAGATGCAGGTGGCAAGCAAGTAACAACTTTATTCAATACTATGTGTGTCCATTGCGAAAATGGAAGAGTAACTACTTTGAAACACCAGAAACCTGAAAGGTAACATCAAAAAAAATAGGTCTACGTAGTCTGTAGCGATTCATGAGAAACGGCAGGGACTACTCCGCAAAACCTTTCTGGAGCCAACGGTGAACGCCGTACCCAACCGATTGAATGCAAAAATCCCACGAAATTTCACACCAAGCTGACCGATACTGGACCAAAAAGACCCTTTCTGAGTTTTTGGAGCATCGGAGCGTGGGATACGAAGTAACAATCCCATTCTCCTCCGCAAACTAACGGTCTGTGCTAGAAGCACCGACCCAACTCGCGAATGCAACATTTCCCAGTCACATGCAAACTCCTCGACCCTCGAAATGGGCCTGCAAAAAACAGAACCTGGTGCGATTGCATTCCTCGTTGTATCCGCCTGGAGGGAGGGACTCCTTCAAATAGAACGCTTCATGATACAAATAACTGCGTGGATATCAACTCGTGGGTCATACCCTGGTATAGACTCAAGCTTCCCACTCTGAAGAGCTCAGAAGTGGGTCTCTCAAACTCCCGTTAACATCATCAAACTCCTTGCTTCCAATAGGGTATCACACCGACAACGCACACTTCGGGGACAATCGCAATGTGGAAAACTGCCCGCCGATGTAAATGGAGGCGAGGTACATGACTCGGTGCTCATCGCCGACTTCCACGACGGCGATCGAGACACACCCTTGAGTCGAAGATCTGAGGGACTTGGGGAGTCCAGTCCCGATCTAGTGAACGGATGTTGTTGTCGGTAGTCTCGGTTGACAAGTCCATGCCGGGGAGAAGTCAACGCTATACCGACAACGCATGCATCGATGTGGAACCTCAAAGCTCCCCACAACTGGCAGATCCAACTACACACTTCGCTGTGTGGGTGTTGAAGGAAAATCTCAATTAGGGGAGAGTTCGGTAACTGGAATATTACATCTTTAGTAAACTGTTGGACCCACTCTTTCTGTTTTTTTCTTTCACAATTACCTTGAATTTTGCATTGAGATTCAGCTTTGGCTGAAAATTCATGATAAATTACCCGTGGAATTGACTGTTACCTCTGCCGTTCTGAGATTTCGTTTTAGATTGTTTGTACCTGAGAGAGAGAGGGAGAGAGAGAGACTGTGACTGGAAAATGAACGTGTGTGTATGTTTCATACCAACACCTCTCTTTCTTTTGATTTTGAAGGGGATGAATTTGCAATGTTTCCATAGAAGATTTGCAAAACAAATAAAATGCATCGTCAAAGCATGCAAGGGTGTAGCATTATGATTAGTATTCTTTTTTCTATTTTCTTTTTCTCCCCCCCCCCTTTTTTTAAAATTCTAAAATGTTTAGAATGAACATGAAAAATGATCTGTGTGATGTTTCCCAAATATTTAAGTGAAACCGTTCATTTTTGTGAAGTCAGAGAGGTTAGTTTTGTCGTAGCATAAAAGTCATTTTTAATTTCAACAATTAACATAGAAGCAAAGTTCATTAATTGTTGTATTCGTGTGAAATGATAAGTGTTTCAAAAACAAAAAGTATATAAACAAAAACGAAAAAAATTCTGCTAAGGTATGACCTGAAATTTTAAATTTTAAGTATAATATCAAACTTAATACAATAGTCATGATTATGTTGATTTGAACACTCAAACATGATGCAGCTAACTGATCCAGTATGCAATGAAGTCAAAACAAATGAATCAATCAAAGATTTGGGCTTGCTCAAAACCAACATCACCTGCATATTTCAATTTTGAGGTTTTTTTTTAGTCACCGACATTTTACTCTCAAAAGCTATATTAAAAAATTGTTTTGATTATAAATACTTTTCATATCATGTTTCAAAAGGACTACCAAATATTGATTGTTTTAATTTTATTACAAATAAGATGTGAAGGTGTAGAATAGCTCAAATCAAAATTTCTTATTAATGTGCACACAAAATTGGTTTCACATACATCATCAAAAATTTACGGATCAGCATCTACAAGATCCATAATGTCCCTACCTGGTTTTACAATGTAATTTAAAATCCCTTTTTTGTTGAGTTGGTCATGTGTGTTTGTGAACAAAATTTATCATTAAAATAAATAAACAAGTAAGTAAACAATGCAGATACATGTATACACTGAGCATGAGAATGAATAAATTTTCAAAGTGGCAGTAATGTACTTCAAAGTTAAAAACCCTTTGTCCTTGAACAACACAAGTCATGGTTTCATTTTAGTATATAGTGTGTAAAGTGTAGTCTTTTGCTACACAATATCAAATAATATACACAATTGATCAGTTTTTTTTTTTTTTTTTTTTTTTTTTTTTTTTTTTGAATCATCGAGTTGATAATAAAATAAAATAATACGTCCTTTTGGTATTTTTGATGCATTTGATGTTCTAAAAGTTAAAGATAACACTCACGAAGTATAACATGATTTTTTATTGTCAATAAATCTCAGCCAATGTTTCAACAGTAAATGATTTGGTTTCGAAGCGCTCTTAAATTTCTACAACCGCAATGTCAAGATTTGTGGAAAAAACTGATAGTCCAAAACTTTTAAAAAATGAATCAAAAGACTTACACATCTCAAGGAAAGAAAGGCCCAACTCTGGTGAGTTACAATGAAACTAAATGTCATTTATAAAATAGTGAACGACACTGTCAAAAAAACAAAACTCGACTAGTGGCAAGAAAAGTGACCCACAAACTCCAACAATTTTTTTAATATTAGTTCACAAAAAAAGGAATCAACAGTAGTTTTTTATACGACAACTTGAGTTAACACGAACTGTAAACAAATCTGGAAACTCACCAGTTCACGCTGAAAGAGGGGTGATGAATGCGAAGCGCGCTTAGCCGTCGAATGCTACAAGTGGGTCAAGATCTGGCCGTTGAAAATTAGGGCTAGGAGGAGGGAGGAAGAAGGGTTTTGTGAAAGGCGATGGGTGGCCTCACTGAAGCTCTTTTTTCCACTTGCGAGTGTCTGCCGATCGAGCTACTGACCCTCCAGGGCGCCCATAGTCGCACCTCCGCCATGGCCAAAACTGTTAAAGACGTGCCCTCGCACGAATTTGTGCGCAACTACGCTGCCCACTTGAAGCGCTCTGGCAAGGTACCACTCTCGACGAATGCTTTTGGTGGGGTGGACCCCGTTTTTGTTTGTTTTTTTTCTGTAACTTAGGGTCTTCACGTTACAGAGGGGTGCACTTTTGTCGACACATTTGAGAAGTGCGGAAGGTGGCGAGGATTGGGATCTCGGGATGCACATGTGATTTCAGTTCAGTAGGGGTGTGTGACACTGAATTGGGTTTCGGGTGGAGTCGATTAGGGTTTTAGGGTTTTGGTGCTCTTTTGGTCCCGACTGTGTCCGTTGGTATTGGAGTTGCAATACCTAATAGATGGCTGTTTTTTCTCGTCTGCAGATTGAAGTTCCCGCATGGGCTGATCTTGTGAAGACCGCTACCTTCAAGGAACTTGCCCCTTACGATGCTGACTGGTACTACATCAGAGCTGGTATGTGTTGGTTGCGTTGGCAGAGTTCCTTGCTTTCTTGCGTATGTCCGTTATGCGTGTGGTCGCGATTCGTATTTACTTAGTTGGAGAAATTTAATCCTTTTGAAGGGACTAGTTCAGAAAGCTACACAAGTGTTTTTATTCCATTTTTAGTTTGAGCATGGTTAATGCATCGGGTTTGTTCTCTTACCTGTACATTGTTATTGCCGTACGGGCTTGAAACTCATTGCTCCATTAATTGCCTGATTTCTGAAGCCTCTATGGCGAGAAAGATCTACCTGAGGGGAGGAATTGGAGTGGGCGCTTTCAAGAAGATTTACGGTGGCCGTAAGAGCAATGGAGTTAGACCGTCTCACTTTGCCAAGAGCAGCGGTTCAATTGCAAGGCACTGCCTGAAGCAGCTAGAGGCTCTTAACATAGTCGAGAAGGATGTTAGGGGGTCAGTTCCTTCTGTCTCTTTTTCTTTCTCTGCATGTGCATTCTTAGGGTTAGGGTTTTGATTTGGTTTGGTAGGATCATGTACTACACGAATCAAATTACTTCGAATTGTTCTCAGAGCTTGAGAATCACTTTAATAAGTGTCTTGTGCGTTTGCTTAATGGTATCTAGTCAATGTCATGTGAAACTTCGCAACCTTTGCTTCTAGCTTGGTGTTTTTTTTCTGATCACTTTGTTGTAATTTGCAGAGGAAGGCGCATCACCTCTGATGGGCAGCGTGACCTTGATCAGGTAGCCGGACGCATTGCCATCGCTGCGGCTTAGTTACATGAATGTAGCAGTAGTACTGGTTGACTTGGGAAAAAAAGAAAATGCTTGAGCACCGTGTGCTGAGTGGGATTGTGGAGGGCGCTGCCATACATGACGTTCGATTTATGAACCGCATTGCAATCCATTATCTTGTTCTGTGTTGTGCAGCACTATGCATTTCCACTTCTCTGTAATCAAGATACTGTCGCTGATCCGGTACACTTTTTTCAATGTATTGTTGGAAGTATTATATCTAGCTTTCAATGGTTCGGTTTTAGCATGCTTGTTGTGGACGTCTGTTCTATACGGAATCTCGAATTATTAGGGTTCTCGCATGGCTGTGTCTAGCAGTACACGAGTAAACATGCAATGCGTATAATTGTTCAAAAGTCAGTGTGATGTTAAGAAAGCACGAAGTAATCACATCGAAAATAATGTTATGCATAAATCAGACTTAATCTTCCTTCCGTCCAAGGGACTTTATCCGATCCATTGTCAATAAAACCGAATCTTCAGTAAATTAAGGAGACAGCACAAGTACTCGTAGCTTTTCTGAAATGTAAGGCTCCGTCTGAAAATCGTTTGATTACCAGTTTTTCTAGAGGAAATGGTACGTACATTGCAGTTGTTATCTATCATCCGGTTTGAAATGTACTATTCCTTCAAGTTTTAAGTCTAGAAGAAGAGTGCATGATTCACCATCTAGCTCCTGCGTTACTCCCTCACATCCCAATTACACTGCCTCCGCAACGTATTTGCTTAAATTGATACGTTGTGGCCATCATTTAAATGCTTCTAAGCTGTTAGACAACATAATACATCCTAATCCCGCGGCTGAACCAACGACTAGGATACGAGCTCTATTGAAGTACGAGGCAAATCCTTTGGCGATCATAAGCGAGAGGGTAATGATGCGCAACCTGCTTCTCTCTTCAAGCTTCCCGAAAAAGGCTATAGGTTGGAGACCTTGCCGTAAAACAAACGCCAGCATGAACGGTAGCAATGTAACGGGTAAGAGCTGCCAAGTAGGATTCACAGATTGCCATGTAGCAAAGCACAACCCTGCCCCAACACATTGAACGCAGCCTAGCAGAACCAGACTCTTCTGAAAGCTCAACATCCGTTTCTGGAGAAAAGCAAGTGACTCTCGTAGCTCGTCAGCGACTGGAGATAAATCTCGTTCAACTGTTGGACCCACAATCTCCTCATGTTGAAAATCCTCCAGGCTTGTCTTTTGCACGGCTTCCTCTTTACCCTCTGCCACCGCTGTTTCTTGCTTTCGAGGTGAGGATGATACCTCAGTTGAGAAGTTGCACTTGGTCCATTGAGTACTCTTTTCATGCACATCCACGCCAGTCAGCGTCTGCAGTCCAACCCCCTTTGTGTTCCAATTCAGGAGCTTATTGTGATGACCACTGTGAATAGAGGCAGAGCCACCATCAAATATAGAAGCGGAGCTGACCCTACGTAAGGCAGGGAATTCTTTCAGAAAAGGTTGATGCCCAGCACTCGGAGTGACTCCACAAGGTTCTGCACATTTCGGTTCAATATCTGCAGGTCAACACAGCATCATATTATCTGATTCTACATGTAAACTTAGGAATATACATATATACATACATACAAACACACGTATAAATAAACAAATAAATAAATAAATAAATAAATTTGAACTTAGGAGTATCAAATTTACTTAGGCGCATGCATAGATAATCTTGTCGTGATCGAACGAAAAAATTGGGGGTTGATCAGCAGCGATAAAGGGGGCTAAGGGATGAAAACTGAAAAATCGTAACATTCCAGTAAAATGCTCACTACCAGGTTCAAAAGTACTGCGCTGGCGGCATCATATTTGTTCACGAATTCACCTTCTTCCCGGGAAAAACCTTGCAATAGTGTAGAACCATAATTCTGGTGCTTGTCTAAAATTTCAGTTCACGATTCCAATGTTACCTTCAAAGCCTCGTCTGCCACTGAATCAATCGTCTAAAATGAATCCGCACACAACTCACAGATAAAATCAAATTGGCGACCCATGAAGGCAAGACAAGTGACTCTGCAAGATCCTCTCGAATCCCAAGGAACCTAAGACTGGCCCTCACACGCATCAACTCATTGAACCCAATTTTTCCTCACTTGATTTTGGAACTGGAGTTAAGCATTTTCACTTATCACTCAAAAACCCAAAAAAACCCAAAAAACAAAGACAATCAAAGCTGTGAAAACAAACCAGGTGGCTCCACAAACGAGCTGCTGCTGCTACTTCGTGTTGGCTCTCTCCCGAGGCAGATCGCAGTCGCATCTTGATACCAATTTTGGGTGACGCTAGAAGTGGAAACTGAGGAGGAGATGGAGGACAAGCTGAAGCGGGAAGTGGCGAGCAGGCGGTGAAGGGATCGGATCGCCATAGCCATGAAACTCAAGCTTCGCACGCTCTGTTTGTGTTCCTTGCGGGGAAGTGACAGAGCTGCAGACACGCAATTCCAAGCCTATGGATGGATGGATGAACTTCACCACTGGGCCACATTCATTGCTAATATGGATGATCGAAAATACGGATGGATAGATGGATGAGGGATGACAGCAGAATGTGTGGTCGACGGATGAGGGATGACAGCAGAATGAGAAACCTTATTGCTCCGAATTAGTGTTGATAATTAGTGTTGATAATTAGTGTTGATAATTAGTGTTACTAATTACAAGTTGTGGCTTTGTTTTTGTTTTTTTTTTCTTTGTAATAATGTTCTAAAAATAATGATCATGTGCACATACACTTTCATCTTGTCAAAAATTAAAATTTATTTGCTTGTGCATGTGTATTTATTTAAGAAATTTTGTAGTAGCTAATTCAAAAACATGTAGTGCATGTGTTTTTTTCCAATTATGTATAAGTACACATACACACAAATATATATATATATATATATATATAAAGATATATGCACAATAATGATGAAGTGACCCAAATTTTAACTAAAGCGACCCACTCTATCTTAAACATTATTGCATCTTTTGATCTCCCATCTCGATTCCTAGTCCTTCCCAATTCCCAACTATTGCTAGAGACGGGGGGCAAGGGGATGGGAACATAGGGAATGGAGGTGACGTTTGGAAATAGGGGAATAATTAGAAATATGAGAATAGTTGAGAATAGGGCATGTGGGTTGATTTAGTAAAAATTTGGGTTGCTTTATCATTCCTCTGTATCATTCCTCTATATGTGTGTGTATATATATATATATATATATATATACAGTTTTTGCCATCATTTAGTTGATAAAATTAGTTTCAATGAAAGCTCAACCAATAGAACACTTGATTAAAGATGAATCAAATCAATAATGGTATACCAAGAATGATTTTCAAAAATAATTCAAAAACTACTTACAAAAATATTGTTGTTTTACCATTACATCTAAACTAGAAAAAACACATGTAAATAATGAAGGCTATACAATATCTTTAAATCTTCTTCCACGAGGTTATCTTTATATTTCTTAAAAGAAAATTACATGAATGTTTCTTAGTCTTCAAGAATCTAAGACTTTATCATGAATCCAAGACTTAAATTAACATTTTGAACTTTATCTTAAACATCAAAATGAAAACTAATAAAGAAAACTAACCCAATTCTAAGCTAATCCAATTAGAAACCATTTTTTATAAACTTTACAACTTGAAACTCCTATGTAATCTACTTATCTATTTCAACACATGTAAACCTACATTAAAATGCTACAAGAAGAAAAAAGAATATATATATATATAAACAAACAAACAAGTGAAGGAGATCGCTAGCAGTGACAGTGCATTCCTATTTCGAGTAGTCTACGCTGCTGGACATGAGCAGGATATGGCAGGAAAACATCAAACTCCTTGTGAAGAATGAAGCATCACTGACATAATTCAAAGCCAGAGAAATGCAAAAGAGATGCACTGCATGTGGAGGATTCTCCCTCCAATCCTATCACCCACTGTGACCTAAGGTCGGCAGCCATCCACCATGATTCCATGCCTTCTTAGAAAACCTAGACACGCATCCCGGCACAAGTGCAGCATCACTGGTGCTGTGAAAAAATGCGTGGTTAGTTTCTGAGCATCCCATAGTCAACATTAATATCCAGCCTATTCACTCCACCCACGCCCTTTTAACTTTGTTACTGGAGTTGCGGAGATGGAGATGAAGCCGCCGAGAGGAGGAGATCAGGTAGACGACGAGGATTGAGCATCGATCCTTAGCACTGGCTTGCCATTGTTCACTTTGTAACCCACATGGGTTGCGGTCTCTTGTATTCCATTGATGAAGACAAACGGGGGAGGTGGGGGATCTTCAAACCAGCCTCTTTCGTTTCATTAATAAATCGCAAAAGTAAAAAGAGAGTGTAACCCATAGTGCTGTGTTTATGTCAACGCTCGATGTCAACCCCGGAACTGTCACGAACCTTCCATGTGTTGTGTGCGTGTGTGGAGAGTCAACCCTAAACCTGGTATTGATGTCAAACATGGTTTCAAAAAACCTTTAATTAAGTGGTTTATTTTTTATTTTGCATGCTCGAAGGTCAACTCTTCAACTTCAGTAGTGCAGGAACTGAAGTCTGTCATTCATTGAGTACTAGTTCGAAGTCTACAGCATTGCAGAAAGACTCTAGAACATGCACCCAAACATGCAAAATATATGAAGCATTGCGGCGTTAGGATATTGCCGTTGTGTGCAGAAGAACGTTATCGTCTCAAGTTAAGATTTTGATTTTAACTTTGATTTTTACTGTGATTTATGATGACGGCAATTGTTTAATATGCATAAAAAATCAAACTTCATTGCTTGGGGTTGACACTATTGTTCAAGACCTGAGAGTCATTACCATTTGTTGGTAGTTTTGCATTCTGTGTTTTGTTGGTGTGCATTGACTAACGTATCTTTATTGCAGGCATTTATTGATATCAACAGGTGTAATTATCTACTTCTGTGTGTTAGTTTTGAATATTTTACATGTTAGTATAGACATATATGTATATATATATATATATATATAAATGTGGATTGTTAATGTATTGATTACAATTATATATATATATATATATATATATACATATATAGTGCTTTGGCATCTGCTTTGCACTTCTTTGCATGTTAGCAAAAGTGCAACACCTGACTAACATAGCATTTAAATTTTACTTTGGATAATCAATGTATCTCATTTATAACATTGGAAAAGAATTTATCAACATAGATGAATTTATTAGCTCTCAACAAAGTCGTTGTTTTCCTAGTCTTTCATGTTTCTTTGTCACAAAGTCCATGTTCTCAAGGTAAATTAATTAATTTATCTATATATAAATTTATCTAATGGTTTAGGTAGTTAAATCAAAATTAAAATTTGTATCAATTTGTTATATATTTGTTATATACATAAATTTAATTACTTTTTATTTAAATTAATTTTTTAGAAAATATATACAAAACCTATATATTTATAAATATTAATGATCTTTTATAAATATTTTATTTTATTTATTTTATTTCAATATATTAGTAATAAATTTTGCATATATATATATTGTATGATTAATATAATTTTAATTTTTTATTAAATGCCAAAATAATATCAAAATTAAAATCAAAATATTCATCTTTAATTTTATATATTTTTTGAACATATTATAAATGATCTTTAGAGAAGTAATATATTTATAACTTAAAATAGAATCTTTTAAAAGAATGTTAAATTAATCCCACTAATTATTAATTTGATCTATCTATTAAAACCATCATTGTAGCTCTTGTTGTATATCATAATCACCATATCTCTTAGTCTTGTTTCTGGCATGCATCCTTTGCCTCAACCCCTCCAACCCTTATATCTATTCTCGGCCTCCATTCTTCTTATCAACCTCTCCAAACAATAAGCAAGGACTATAAAGAATTACAATATATTTAAATCAAAACTATAAAAATAACAAAAAATAACTAAAAATATCCACACAACTCTCATATAAAAAAATATTATAATACAACTTATTCATGTGATAGTGACCAATTGAGTAATATAAGGTAATGATATCCATGCCTAAGAGGCTTTGTTGGAGTTTGGAGATTGCATCCATAAGTTTAATAAAGCAATCGTTCATGAGTCCTTGACTGGGAGTTCTAGAGCCTTACTACCACTCATTCAAAAGATCCTAATTATCATCCAAATATTAGGATTTTGATGAGAAGATGCCTAAACTAACTCAACTCTTCTTCCACTATGGCCATTGTCTTAGCAATCACCAATTATTATTTTTTATTTGTTTTTATTTATTTTTTTGTTTATTGTTTTGTTTTGTTTTGTTTTTTGTTTTTTTTTTTTTTTGTATGTGTGTGATATGCACAATTCTTTATACTGCCTTTACAACTTAAATGCTATACAAATTCCAACAATACTATTATCAAAAATATAAATTGTCTCTCTTCTTTTCTAAAATTAGATACAAGAAACCATTGCTATTCTTGATGTTATTGCTATACCTCTTGTATACACAATCTGTCAAGGACAAAGACTTGATGAGGGAAAATATACACAAAAGGCTATCTCGATATAATAAGTCAAAATATAAACAAGTAAGTATATTAAAAGGAAATTGGAATGGCTATCGCCACAAGACAAGAAACTAAAGACTCTTGAACCTGGACTAGAAGCAAGAAAGGAGTTGACAAGAGTGAAGAAGCCTTCACTCTTGTCTCTATATATACTATCTAACTAAGAGCTACGTGGCGACGTTCTATAGGACCTCCAATAGGTGTTGACTTTGTAGGGCACATGCCTTGACTTACAAGGCAAGTTTTTCTATGTGTGGGCCACATAGTTAGCTTGATCTTCAAGCTAACAACATGTGTGGCACATGGCCAACTTGTTGACCACGTTTCTAATCCAAAAAGTCAATTAAAGACACCTATGAAGTCAAAGTAGCGTCTAGGAAGTTTCTAGGAAGCTTCTATATTAAATATTATAGAATTAATTTACTTTTATCTACTTTTACTTACTTCTACCTATTTCTATATGTAATTATTAGCTTACATGATTATGACCATGACATTACCCCCCCTTCTAGAGACGAGTTCCACGAGGAGCGGTCATCATATGTTTAGGAAATCTATGATGCGACGAATTGTATTCGCCACATACTCTGATCTCTGTTCTCTTCGAAGATAATTGATAGGGCCTCTCAACCATCGGTAGTGTCCCATACCAGGGTGGGAAGACCACCCAGTTATTTGATCATTGTTGAGGCCTTCGTAACTTCCTTCGAATAGAATATTTGGAACACCATCAGGAGTTGTTCCTACCTCTAGCAAAATCACCAAACATCGGGAGTCCCTTCCCAAATCGTGATACCAAACGCGTTGTATCTCACCATCTATTCGAGGAAGAACATGTCGTTCTTGAAGATCTTCATCTCGATTGCGTCGTCTTGAAGGTTGTGACAAT